CAGCACAAATAAACAGGGAACTGTTTGTGAAGAGTTCTTTCATGTTTTAGCTGTACCTTTAGTACACAAACATATTTCCAGCGTAGCCTTCAAAGATTAGAGTATCACCCCCTTCCTACGTTTGTCTGTTTCCTCCTTCCAGGGGCTCTGTTAATTAGATAATTTTTTTTATACAAACCAAAGGTAAACTTGTAATCTTAAAACTGCCTGTATTACTTTTCTACAGGAAATGAAACCTTTTACATTCTGCCTGTATTAAGCACTTAAACATACAGAAGGCACTTTTTACAGTTCTTAGTTGCAGCACACGATTAAAAAAATGTAGTTGTTAACTCTTAAGGCCAAATTCTACTCATCTCACCATATTTTCCCATGGACACCACTTGTGTAATATGAAAATCACTTGACCCTTATTTTTTTTCAATGCAGCACAAATGTGTATGGTTTATTTGCACTACAGAATTAGGGTCATTATTAGATGTTTTTGTCACCTGAGCCATTAATCATCATTCCAGTATCAGAAAAAAAAGGGGAGAGGGGGAGAAATCAGGTGTAGACAAAAGTGTATGTAAAAGTTTATAATGAGTTGCCAACTTAAATGGATTTTTTTTTTGTTCCTTTTCTATAGTTAAATAACCTATCTTTACTGTAAACAGTATCAACTCTTAAATACTTTTGACAGTGTTTGGATTAACAGAGCAGAGGTAAAGCAATGAAAGTATAACACCAAAAGTTGAAACACCAAACACCAGAGAACATAGCAGTGTACTGTGCAGGGGATCGGAGATAACATGCTAAAAAGCCTATTGTCACCAGCTTTTAAAGCAATGTCAGCTTTGTGAATATGTTTACTCCTTCTGCCAAAGTTTTTAGGTCAAACGGACCACGACCCTCCTCTGCAACAGATGTACAAAAGGAAGAATGAGACTTTGTAAACAGAAACAAAAAAACCCAAACAAAAAGTTACAATGAACTAACTAACCAGCTGTACCAAGAGGACCAAAATGCTTCAGTAATTAAATTGAAGACTTTGCTACTTTTATTTTTTTCTTCAAATGTGAGTGACATAATGAAGTATTTTTTCCTAAACCATAAAAATATAAACTTTTGAGGTAATGAGTAGTCTTTAGTGAATTTTACATTTTATGACGCAGGTTTCAAGTTGACATTTGTAACTGATGTGTTGACCACAGGTGGGTTTTTTTTTCCAGACTAAAAAATATGTTCATATACTTTTAATGTAAATGTCTTTCTATTTATTTGAAATGAAACAAGCCCAGGAAAAATAACTATGGCTTGTTCTCCTAGTTAGCATTTATGCATACTGTTTGGCACGGTGTGAAACGAAATGTGAATCTAGGCAAGAGTGATGGCCCGAGTAGCAAAAGGAAGGGTGGATGCACTTTGGAGAGTGCCCATCATCTTGTGTGGAATGCAAAGGTTGGGTCCACAGGCTATGTTGGTGAAAAGCAGAAAGCAAAACACCTTCCCTTGTTTAAAGAGCGTAAGAAAGGGATCCAGCCCCTTGCCAGACAGGTGAGAAAACACTGTAGAGCTGCAGTGAAGAGGGGAAAAGGTAGCACAGCACGGAGCCAAGATGTTAACACTCCTGTGATTCACGCTCAGGTTGTCTGCAGGCCCAGTCTGTGCTGGGAGAGTGAGATGAGCTTCCTTGGTGCTTGCTTTTGGCAGTGGAAACGATAAGGAAGGATTTTTATTTTGGTTGCGGTATTTTTAGCCATGTTCTACTGAATTGTTAAAAATCTATTGGCAGATTTCAGTTCTTTAATTAGGAAAGAAAATTTATATATTAATTCTATTTTGTCTTGTGAAAATTAAATATTTTTCCTTGAACATTAACAATTTTCCGAAGTTTACAACAAAAAAAATCACAAGGGATAGTGTCTTGTTTTTTTTCCTCTCAACTCTACAGTTTCTGCAGTAGAATGACAGAGCACCTGAAACCCTGGTTTTCTCCTCAGAAATAGCACAAAATAACATTTTAATGATTGATTTTTCTCAACTGGTTTCCTTTTTAAAGTTGCAGAGTAGCAATAACCACCTTACTTTAAGCACTGAAAATAAGAGGAGAGATCAGTTGTTAAAGTTTTCAGTGGTGCCTGTTCCAAAATGTAGGGGAGTCCCAAATTTTGGATTCTTTACATGGAATGATGGCATTGAAAACAAACAAATGAGAAATAGCTGCCACTTGTCTAACAGCAGGATTCTTACTTTGAGCAGAAATGTACGTAGGCTCCTTGGCAGAATTAGCTGTCTTACCCTGAAATACAGAAAGTTACACCATCTTAGGTGAAATTCCTTCATTAGGAGAAAATCAGCACTCTTTACAAAAAGTTGTTACATTATTTTAAGCAGCTATTTAAAAAGTTTCAGTATTTTTACTTGCTACCAGACAGAGTTAGTGAAATTAATTCTCTTTGCAATACCTCGTAACTATGGTAATTGTGTAGTGCAACAGCTGCTGCCTCTCAGTGATGGACACAACATCCCAGAAGCAGAGGTGAATTACGCTGATCCTTCTAGGGACCAAATCTACCCTTTACCCATTAAACTCTTCCATAAACTAGCAGTGCTGTCAGTATAGAGTATTCCAAAAATCATTGGAACATAGGCTGTGTTCGCCCCTTAAGGGTGTTGTGGACGTGTTTTGAGTGTGCTGTATTGAGGAGGAAATCTGCCACGAGCGAGACACTTGGAAGTTCTCAGTGTTGGCCTGTCCCACGTCTCACGTGAGTCACCAGAATCCCTTTTTTTTTTTTTTGTACATTAATCTGTAATTTATCACATGTAGAAACATATGTGTAATTTAGGGCAGGTATTTAAGCATGGGAGTAATTTTACTCTTGTAAATAATCTCCTTGCCTTTCTGTGGACTTTTTTACAAGAGTAATCATACATAATTGTTGCACTTAACTCTGGATCCTGCAATTTACAGTACATGGACAACTTCTGTGTCTGCACCAAGCAAAGGGTATTTGGGGAGGGGCAGCTGCCTGCCCAGGTGTATTTGCAGGATCGTTTCATCCTGTATTTTAACCACAGCTGCAGGTGGAATCCATAGCAGGATGGGGTCCCAAGTCTCTCTCATAAATACTGAGTTACAACCTCTGGACTGCCTGAAATTGCTGTGAAATAGCTCAGGGGATTTCTGTTCATCGCTATTAAAAGGGCACCATAATGTGTTTGGTACTTTTATGCAGTAAACAACTGCCAGGTTATTGAATTAGAACAAACACATGAAAAGAATTGTTTATCCATTGTACTGTTGAGAAACTTGGTTATGTATCTTAAGAATGATTTAAAAAAAAATTGTGATTTTTATTCTTAGTCATGTAAGAAATATTAGAGTGCCTTTTTATATTTGTGTATAATGGAAATGTTTTGTGAATCTTGTCTTTTTTTTTTCATTTGAGTGTTATAAAAGCAATATATTACCAGTAAATTTTCATTTCAGACCTTCTTTGAATGTATAAAGTGTTTCTTCTTTTCATATGTTCTACCTGCATTGAAATGAAAATTAATATGCTAAATTTCTATAGGAATAATGTATAATTTTTGCAGTGCTGAAAATGCTTTCTTATTACACAAAAATTAAACCTTAGGTCAGTGTTATAGGAAAGGGCGTTTTAAACTGGTGACAATCCGAGTGTGTGTATAAAATGTAATTTTATGCGTTTCTTATGCAGTGATCTACATATTAAAGCCAATATCTTATGTTTTGTAGGTTTTGTCTTATATTTTATGCTTTAGCATGTGCAATATATCTTTACAAACCATGGTGATACGCATCTGGTGCCAGTGTTATATTTTGCATAACATTTGTAATAAACAATATAAAATATTGTTTGATGGTTTCGGTGGGGTTTTGTCAGTATTGTTTGCTTTTGTAAATTGAAGTTTAAGGACTTGGGTAAATGTCACATATGAAATGAGGAAAAAAGTTAATTCGGTGAATGACTTGGAATTCAACCTGAATCTTCTCAAGCACAGTTTAATAACTTTTTCAACTACTGAATGCTGTATTAATGTAATAAAGAACCCTAACTGTAAACTACTCTTGCAATGCATTCAGATGGTTATTTTTACAAATAAAAATGGTACAAATACTGTTGGAAAATTGAGTAAATTTTCTTTTAATGGGGGAGGTGGGGAGGGGGAGGCTTAAGTATTTAGCAGCGAAGATGAAAAATGCAACTGTATGTATAGGCACTTTGTACTTCCCTCGTATGTACATACCCCTTGCCTTAGGGAGCTGGTTTTTGTATTGCTTCCTCTGTAGAAGAGTGGTTGGGTTTTTTGTTTGTTTGTTTTTTGGGGTTTTTTTTGGTGTGTGTTAGTAAGTATTTTACTGTTGTTTTTCCCTGGTGAGCAACACCAGCAGTCCTGGGGGTGCCCTGCAGCGAGCTGGGGCAGCAGTTCCACAGGGAATAAAATACAGCAGAGTGCCTAAAGGTAGTGAAGGATAGATACTGAGGTGTTAAATGTACACAAACAAAAACCAGCACCACCAACCACCATCTACCCCTCCTTTTACGTGGTGAGTGCCGGAGCTTTTATGGACGTTTATTACTGAACTGGGGTGTTTCGTACTCTCACCAGGGCAGGGTCCGTAGGAGAACTTGCCCCGGGGGTACGAGGGCTTACTTTCGGCCAGCTGAGCTGAGGCGGGACAGGGGCAGGACTGCCCTCCCGGCCGCAGACGGCCGGACACGCCGAGGCGGCGCCGCCGCAGCGCTGACCCGCCCTCCCCATCATGGCGGACACGCCTCCCCCGCGAGCCGCGACATGGCGGGCGGGCCCCTCAGCCCAGCGCCCGCCCGACCTCCCCAACATGGCGGCCGCCCCCGGCGCCGGGCAGGTTGTGGGGACCCCGCCCGCCCGCTCCGCCTCCCGGGCGGCGGCGCTCCCGCCCCGCCCCGCCCCGCCGTGCCTGTGCGCGGGCAGCCCGCGGGGAGCAGCGCTCCGCTCCGCGGGGCGCCATGGGGCGGGCGGGCCGCCGGCTGCCCGCGCTGGCAGCGCTCTTCTACGGGGCGCTGGCGGCGCTGGTGCTGCTGGGGGTGCGGGACGTGCTGTTCGTCTACGAGGAGAACCGATGCAGCATGACCTACATGTACGAGTACCCCGAGTACCTGGTGAGTGCGGCGGCGTGTAACAGGTGGGACCCGCCGCGCCCGGGGCGTCGCCGCCCGCCCCGCCGCGGCCGGAGCCGGGAGGAGCCGGAGCCCCAATCCCAGCCCTGCCGCGCTCCCCGCGGGAAGGGAGACCTGCCCCAGCTCGGCGCTTCCCTGGCGAGCCGAGGCGGCCCCTGCGGGGCGGCGAGCGCTAAATGGGGCAGGGGCAGTGCGGGCTGGCGAGGGGTCCGTGTGCGGGCAGCAGGCGCTGCTGTGCCCGCCTGGCGTGGCGGTGCCCCTCGGGAGGTGCCGGTGGGAAGAGCTGCCCACCTGTAACCAGCGGGGTGTTCGGTACTGCCGCTGGTACAAAACCTTCCCGCGTTCTAACCTGCTAATGCCTGTAGTTACCTGTAGCCGCGGTAAATCCCGTCAGAAGCTCATCCCAGCGCTGGCAAAGGAAGGGGCTGGGCCAGCTCCTCTGACAGCACTCACAGCACTGCCAGTGCCCAGGAGGCTGAGCCTTGCACTTCTTGGCCCTCTTCCTGACTTTGTGGTGTGAAGCAATTAATGTGTCAATAAAGCACAAAACGGAAGTTTGAATAGGAGTGTATTTCTCAAGGCAGTGAACAGTAGAACGAAGTTCTCTCTGTGAGCGCTTCAGAGGTGGAATGTCCTGCTGTGTATGGGAGAAGTAAGTTGTAAATGTGTCTGAGGTCCCTCTTCGTTTGCTAACAGAGGCTTGTAGGAGTCTGAAAACCTGGGACCAGTTTGAGAGAGGGAACTGCTGCCGGAACATGTCTGTTTTCCAGACATGGTATTCTGACTTAGCAGTGGGAGGATGTAAATATGTGTCTGTAGGTTCGCTGCTAATACTGCATGCAGTTGTTAGAAAACAGTTTCTCTTTCTACTAATAGTTCTTACTACCGCATTTTCTCTCTTATTAAAATTTGTTGACTTCTAAATATTCATTTAACATTATCTAAGATCTATGTTGGGAAAAAAATATGAAGTATTCTAAATACTATTCCATTCCGAAGTAGGTTGCAAGCGGGCTTGCATGGTAAAGAAGATCTAAAAGCAAAGCTTTAGTACCTAATTGTCAATGAAGCAGAAAGTTAATTGGATCTGTTAACCTTCATTTGCTAACCTCGACACAGTCATGTTAGCCTACAAAAGAGAAACTTTGTATACCTACAAGGGTTGTTTTTGTCAATGCTGTAGGACAAATTTGTTTAAGCAGTTATGAATACTTAAATATTGCGCGGCAAGCTTTCAGATCTCCTAGCAGCCAAAACCCACTTCAGCTTCAATCTGGAGCCAAACAACAGAAAGTTACGAGCAAAATCTGTGTCGTGTAATTGGCAGTTGTCTGAAATTCTTGTCAGCCACCACACATCTTTTGTGTTTACTCATTATGTCAGGGCTTAAACTGAGCATTTTTAGGCGGCTGTTGTGGTAGCTCCATGCAGGTGATGCAAGTCACTGCTGGCTGTATTGTCTCCCGGAATTTCTGTTTCCTGAGTAATCGCTTTCACTGTGTAGAAAACAGTACCTTGGGGTTTGGGTAGGCATTATACATTTCAAATACCTCTTTGCTGTTGGAGGGGTTGTATGCTTTGATTTTTCATGACTTTATAGTGCTGGCTTTGGCAGGAAATCGCAGGGTGGGAGTTTCAGGTAAGAGGTACCTGTCCTTGCTTCCGGATTGATATCACATTACAAAACGTGAAGAACTACTTGGACACTTAAAGAAGAAGTTTCATTACTTTTGTGTCTGTCAGTGTGGGTTAGCTCACAGTCAGCCTAATGCTCAGTAATGGAATCACTTTAGATTTTCTTTTTTGCACTGATCGATCTTTTCTTGTATGAGTTGTAGAGCTGCAGTACTTGAATTTAATGTGCGCTTGTCCTGTCCTGTACTTGGTAAGAGGTTCAGAAGTTAGTAATGAGGACTTTTTCACATAAACCTAATTTCTTTGGAAACCAGGGTGAAAAAATGAAACCTACATTGACATTGTAAAAAGTTACTGTAACTTGCTACTACCGATTATGTAAACCATGTCTTGGGAATTCAGAATTTAAATCCACTTCATGATACATGAAGGTCTGTTTTCCTTTGGAGTTATGCATTGCCATTTTTTTATAATATTTGAGCACTGTAATCTACCAAAAAACCTCCCCAGTATTTTGGTAGTACAGTCCTCATGGGGGGTGGGGGTTTTTGCTTTTGACATTGATCCAGAGAAGGACAGCTTGTGAATTTTATGTTATGTAAAAGTTTTGAAAAGACAATGAACCAGGAAGATACTGTGGAAGAACAGTTAGTTTGATCTGCCAGGAAAGCATATGAGCATATATTGATGGCACTCTTAGTTCAGTAATGGAAACTGATGAAGTTTTTTTTTACATAATTTTGAGAGTCTTTGAAAAAGGAGCAGCACAAAGGATTGAGAATGGGGCAATGAGGTCAGTGAAGTTGCAAAGGCAAAAGATGATGGAGAAAAGGAAAAGGCCATTGAAAGGATGATCTGAAGACATAAGCCCTGAATGAAGCTTAACCTATTTTGTTCACAGTGAAACACACTCTTTCTACTTCATTAATAATAATATAATTAAAATATAAATAATACATAGAGAATATAAATTTTAAATATATATATATCAAACATCATAAGAAAAGGTTGCAAATAACCAATATGTCAAACAATTTGAATGCTAAGGGAGAAGGAAAATAGTCTCTAGCTGAGGAGAGACAGAGAAGAAAAGGGGAAGGGAAGGAGTGTGTGGGTAGGGAATTAAAGCTAAATAACCTTTATTGTAGATGCAGCTGAGAGAAAAAAATATTTGAAATAGAGACGTTTCTATTTCATGAAAACAATTAAGAAAGACTTCAGAGAAGATTTCTGATGTAAAACTGAGTTCAGTTTTGACCTTATTCTGCAGAAGTTTTTCCTTAAATTCTAAATTACACCTTAATGCATTTATTTTTTATTGTCTTATTTGTCTCTCAATGGGTGAGACAATTTTAAAAATCTGTATCTTAGAAATTCAGAGTTATAAACCAACCAACCTCCTCCATGCAGGAATTAATTAAATGTGTTGTTGTTTGCTACTTGTTTGGTTTAAAACAGTGTCACATGACTCTTAAGAGTCATGACTTAATGGTCTAAGGTTAATCCTGACCCAGCTCTCAGGTTCAAAGAGATTTTGTTCTTTTCTCTTTGGAAATCATAATCCTGTGAATAAGTTAAGTGATAGGTTAGGGGTTTAGCTGTATTCTTCTTGGCTTTAATACAAGTAATATGGCCCTTTTTAACATGACAACTGACATGAAAATTGGACCCTGAGTCGTTATAAAACCAGGTGGTTTGTCACTAGGCCACAAAACCAACTCTGAAAATGAAACAAACAGGAAAAGCACCGAAGTATGGGTTGTTTTTTTCTGATGAGCTATATTGGGGTGGTTACAACTATTGTTTAAACTCATTGCAGGTGACACCTCTGTAAAAATCATCTAAGAGAACTCACACGTTATCTGTAATTTACCCTGATGTAACAGGTCTCATCTGACCGTCACCTGTGTAAGCCTGTTCTCGAGATTTAGTTTCAGATCAAGTGCAGCAGCAAGTCCTTGTTCTCAGTTACGTTGTATTGGAAAGGATTCCAGAACCATTCCGGTGGAGCAGGAATAATGAGGATCACTCACAAGCCCCTGTTTCTGGTCTCAGATTCTCCTGTCCTGGAGACAGGAGTGGTTGGGCTTTGGCATGACTTTTTTTTTCCCCTTCCATCCCTGTATTATAAGCTGGGTTTACTTTATTAATGTGCAGTTTGTTTCAGAGCTAGTTAAAGTTAATTCCTGTTTTGAGTAACTGCAGCCACTCATTCTGCACAGCAATACCTACTTGAACAATATACTTGATAATTCAATTAGTTTTTTAAAGCAAACCCCAGTTTTCACTTGGTATTCTTTAGGCTGTGACTTAAAACCACACATAAAGTGGAAGCCAGATCATTTAAATGGCTGTATAGCCACCCTATTTTCTTGTTTGTAACACTGTAAACAAAGTATTTGTTTTCTTTTTAACTTTTGCAACAGAAAATAAAATTACCCAAGAAAACAGCCAGACGATACCCAGCCTATGAGCTCTATCTCTATGGGGAAGGGAACTACGCTGAGGAAAACAAAAATCTCCTATTGACAGGAATTCCAGTTCTTTTTCTTCCTGGGAATGCTGGCAGTTACAAACAAGGTAAGTGTTTAGCTAAGTTATAGGTATGTTACAAAAAAGGCTCTCACATTTATGCATTATTTAGTTTTCTGTTTGAAATAATATCATCCAGAGTCATAATGATTGATCATATTATGATATAGATATCCTTGTTAGTCCATGTTTAAGTTCAGACAGTCAAAATACATTATTTCTGTTTGAAATCAGTTAAATATTTCAGCTATACTATTTCTCTGGAGCGAGGCTTTAACCTTTGAAAGCTAGAAGCAATATAGTGCTGTAATATGGCAGCACCACACCCTTCCTCTACCTTTGTTTGCAAACATCCAGTTGGTTTTGATTTGAACGATGTTTTGTACAGTTTATGCCAAATAAAACAAGACCTGAATTGGAATAGAAGAGACTGAACCCTCTATCGTCTGTCCTGTGAAGGAATTACACGCTTTAGAAATGAGCAGCATCTTGTGGCTTGCCCTGTAGCTTCATTATTTCCTGCTTCTTTGTGTAGTGGTGTTTTTTCCTCCACATCAGCTTCTCACTTTACATACAGCCTGCTTTTGTTTCCCAGGTTATTCCCTCTTATGCTTCGAGGTTCCAAATGAAAGGAAGTAATAGTTTTAAAGCGTTTTTATTTTTCATTGTGATTACCAAAGCTAATCATTTGATGAACATGAAGTTTTGTGTTTCAGGGTTTACTCTGGTATCTGCAATTCCTTCCAGGCTGGGTTTGTCAGCCTGTTATTTTCGTTCTCTAAAATGTGCTTTGAAACAGTAACACTCTCACTGTGTTAGCAAAAGGGATGGGCACCTGTGCGGAAAACCACCATACTCTGAACCCTGATGTCTTACTGGATAACTTCATCTCTTCGCACTGAACTTGATGATTAAATTATCGGATTTCAGAGAACCTTTACAGAGTTTGGGGTTTTTTTGAGAATGTACTCTCTTAGCTTATAACAACATAAAATATTTTACCAACTCGTACTTTTAGAAAACCCATACAGACTTCCAGGCACAATACCATCCAAAGAAGATTACAGACATAATGGTTATGAGAGATGCCATATGGGCTTTTGTAATTGCGCATCAAGTATTGCAAATCTGTGAATTAATGCTGTCTCTAAAATCACAACAGCGCATCACTAGGCAGTAAATAGAACAGTACTTTCAAGGCATATTAGGATTCAGAAGGAGGTATCCAAAGAATAAAAAACTAGGTGAGTAGAGGTACTACATGCTGTGGATGATAGTGTGTTGCTTAAGATTAGTAAATATTTCAATATATGTTCTTTGAGAAACTGAGTTAGAGAGACTGGCAAATATAAGTCATATGTGCATTATACAAAACCTTTGTTAAAATAAATTATTCAGTGGCTGAGAATGTTTTTTTGTTTTAGTATTGAATTTATGGAAATTCTTATTTTGTTCAGAATTTATTGTCCACACAATTTTATACTATAGATAAATGTAGATAATTAAACAGAGAAGGTGTGGCTATTGCAATTTTCATATTGATTTAAAATATATTCATGTTTGCTGAGCAATGAAGACAAAAGTGCTTCTGCTGCCTTTGCTGGACTTACTTTCATAAAACCATTTAGGTTAGAAAGGGCCTTTCAGATTATCAAGTCCAACCAATAACCCAGCACTACCACCCCCACTGCTAAACCAGGTCCCTAAAGGGCCACATCTGCACAGCTTTTAAATGCCTCCAGGGATGGTGACTCCACCACTGCCCTGGGCAGCCTGTTCCAATGCCTGACCACCCTTTAGGAGAAGACACTTTTCCTAAGATCCAGTCTAAACCTCCCCTGGTGCAACTTGAGGCTATTTGCTCTTGTCCTTTCACTTGATACTTTCGAGAAGAGGCTGACCCCACCTCACTGCAACTGCCTTGTGGGAGGTTTGGATGTGTTACTGGCACTTTGGAAACGTTAATTCATCATCTTTCATGGGCACTAAAATGAGCTTTGTAAAATGTACAAAATTCAGACTTTGAGTAAAAGATGATTTGGGAATGAACCTGAGATTGGGAGAATTGAGTTCCTGGGTTTTGTTTAGCAATCTGTCACACATTTGCCTTGTGATATTCTTGTGCAATATTCTTGTTCCTTTTACCATGACCTCCGAGATATAAGGTTGTGATAAGATACTTGATCTTTTAAATACTTTTTAGGTATTTTCAAACCATTTTGAAGGTGGACTTACAGCTTATTAGCTATAGATAGAGATTGACTACAAATCAGATTTATAATTTATAATAATTTATAATATCATGCTGATAATATCTGTTTGAGTACTTAAACATGCAAAGTACTTCATAAATATAACTGTCCCATTTCAGGAGCCTCTCTGAAATTTGTTTGATACTTCATTTCTATAGCAGACTTTTCTGAGAAGGAGGGTTCTGCAGTTCCCTCAGTCTGTTGTACTCTAGGAGAATGTTGCTCCTGTGTGCTGGACTTGGGCACACCTTTCTGGCAGTCATTAGTTATTTTATATACTTGTCTTTGGGACTTTCTGTTTTATTTTATTCTTTCCCTACTATGCATTTTTATTTTCAACTCTTACTGTTCCCATCCTGCCACGTCTCCATGGAAACTTGGGGACAATTCTGTGCTTGAAAGACTGTATTAAATAGCAGCCAGGGTTAGACAGGGGAACAGGTCAGAGGCAAGACCTTGTAAACTGGACATTTTCTCCCTCAGGGTTTTAGATGGAAAAGTGTCACATAGGGTTTGGGTTTGCAATCCCCCTTTACATATTTTAGTGGTATTTGGGAATGTTGTCGTAGAGTTGATGGTCTTCAAAGGAGTTTTAGGAAAGCCTAGCAGGAGGAATGCCTCTGCAGTTGAAATCAAGAATGCTCAGTTTGCCTTCTTGTCCTGATGGCAGTAAGAAGGTGAAAATGAGATGAGAAAATCAGCCCTTAGGTGGAGGAACATAATCCCTGATCCTTGTATAAATTTGTATTTGACATAAAATGTCCTTGTAGCCAGTGGTAAGCTCAAAGGAGATTGTCTGCTTTTGGATGTCTTTATTAAATGGCTTGAGATGAGCAATGGATTTAATAAAACAGTTTTTCTTAATAGATTCTGTATTTATGTGCTTGGCTACTAAGGACTGTGCTAAACAGTGACTATTAGACTGTCCTAATCCATGTGGTTTCTTTCTCTAGTGCGTTCTCTTGGCTCCATTGCACTTAGAAAAGCAGAAGATGTTGACTTCAAGTATCATTTTAACTTCTTCAGTGTCAACTTTAATGAGGAGTTGGTTGCATTGTATGGTGGTAGTCTGCAACGGCAGACCAAGTTTGTGCATGAATGCATAAAAGTAATTCTTAAGTTGTACAGGGTAAGTAGTGACATATGCTGAGTAATGTACTTGCATTTGGGAATGGAATTTTAGGTGCCTTTTCTGCTGGAAAACTGAGGAGTGATGAATAAGGGAGGGAGACTTTATAGTGTGTGTAGATAATTGAAAGTGATAATGATGCAACAGAGATTTGCTTCTCCTTAACAGATTCTTATTGCTTGTGACAATCCCAGAGCTTTGGTTTGGTTCTGTATTGTTTTTCTAAATAAATACCTCCATGCACGGTGTATGCTTTTTTCTAGTAGAGATGTAAACTTCCTGTAGCATTTTAAAATATTAATATAGCATTGCCTCAAATCCAGTTTTCTCTTGGAAAGTTCTTTGGTATTCTCTGTTGCTAAGAGTCTCAGAGATTAAAATAAGTTTAGGTTTATTAAGTTTACACAAGGTACTTAGTATTTCCGTTTGAGCTGGAAACTTCATATTAAGCACATTTTTTGAACTAGAAACTAAATTTATACTCATTTTGTAAACTTGTCAAATTGATGCTAGTTAATGTTATCCTTGAAAGGCTGTAAGTTAATTTTGGGGGGAAAAATCTTCAACTAATATCCATAGTTCGTTGTCAGACTAGCTTCTGATGTGTCCAATTACTCTTTGCTTAAGGAAGGAGACTTTGCACCGACCAGCGTTGCAATAGTAGGTCATTCCATGGGTGGTCTGGTTGCCAGAGCGTTGCTCACTCTGAAGAGTTTTAAGCCTGAGCTTATCAAGCTCCTGATTACACAAGCCACACCTCACGTTGCACCTGTAATGCCTTTAGACCGATATCTCACCGGTGAGTACTGCGGGTCATCTGATTACACCGCATTTCTTTGTTGTTCCTCTCAAGCATTTATAGGTGAGATTCTTGCAAATCTGCTGCTTTGTTTACTGTAATTAATCTGCTCCTCTGTTGCTCGGGTAGCTGTTTGAGAGCACCAGGATACTCAGAGAAAGTCAAGTGTTGTATAAAATGGATTATGTGGACTTGAGCTTCTGTGCAAGGCCTGGAGCTCTCGATAATTTGAGATTTTAATAAGTTGCAGGTCATGTTACTAAATTTTGTAAGCTCCCCAGCGAATGATGTTTTTTCTTTCCTTTTTTTTCACCCTCTTTTAAAACTTGAGCTCTGTAATGGCTTTCTTTATCAAATTAATTGTCTAAATAGCATAATTTTGGTAGAAGTTGGTAAAGTTAATGTTTTTCACGTCCAAAGGTGGTGGGGATAAGAATATTTAATAATATATTTTATATAATATATTTGCAGAAAACATCATATTTACTCCTCACATAAATAACTATGGCATAAAAATAAAGAATAATCATTATGGATGTACTATACACTTCTTGCAAAAGCTAAATTTGATTAAACTGTATTGATTAAATATGTGCTTAGTGATAGTTGTGCTGCTACATGTAGACACTGAGGGAATTGGTGAGGGAAAGGGAAGAGATACTCATTTTCATTGTTGTCTGTGACACCCAAGAGGAATGGATTATCTTGAGCTGCTGGATTTGATTTATTGTGCTTGTATTAATTCTCCCTCCTACAATTGATTTCAATGCAGTGCTGCTTCCTTGCTGACTGTTTTTGGACCATGGCTGTCCTTCAGATAAAATCAGCAAATCTGTGGTTTGCTAATTTAACGATGTATGTGCCCAGCTGGTGTAGAAAGTATTAAGTGTATCTGTCTTTCCTAACTGCTACCTCCTTGGGGCTAAAACAATAATTTTCTTCTCTTATATGAATCAAAAGTGCTAATCAGAGCTCAGAATCCTTTAGGATTCAGAAACTTTTAGTTAAATGTTTATGTAGCTTTTTTTGTATATGAAATAGGCTTATGGGAAAATTGTGATTGATTTTAATATATTTTATAGATTTTTATACAGCTGTAAACAATCATTGGATGCTAAAGGCCCAAGATTTAAGAAATTTAACTACCCTTTCTGTGGCGGGAGGATTCAGAGATTACCAAGTTCGTTCAGGACTGGCTTTTCTACCGAGATTGAGTCAACATGACAGTGCCTTATCTGTTGTGGTAAAAAAGCAAACTATTTTTTTTGGTTTTGCATGGTTAGATAGCCGTTTGTGTAATGCATGTTTTGGTGTCTGATTACAGTCTCTATGTGCAGCGTAGTGTAAATAAATATGAAAATACTACATGTGAAAACACAACGTAGGTAGTATGTGAGTATAAGATCATAAATAGTTGATGTAGTGTAAATCTACCACTTGGTACCATTTCTTCTTACATCCTTCTTGCACTGTATCAGTTCCAGAACTCAGGTTTTATTTCCCTGCATTTTTGCAAGAGATGTGTGTGTAGAGACTGGCAGATGTGCAGCACAGAAGTTGAGTGCTTGTTTGATTATAGAAAGAGAGCTCTGGCTTGGAGCCTTCTTTTTGTATTTATTGTTTTTCAAGGAGTTTAGGAATAGAAAGGATTTAGAGGATCATCAAGTCCAGTCTTCTGCTTTTGCAGGCATCTATCTTTTCAAAATTAATCAAGAGACATCAGAAAGTATTCAGGTTTGTCATTCCATCCCCTCTCCATTAACCTGTTCCCTACCTGTTCTCCCTCAGCATAGGGAGAAAATTTATAATTTCCAACTTCCATTTAGTGTGCAAACCAGTCTTTTAACACATTTGTTTTGACATCAGCTTGAAATGTTATCTGAAATAGTTGTCATTCCCTTGGTGTTTACCTCCCTGTCTGTTGTACAGAAAGCTGTCTATAAATAGTCTCAGCTCAGATCCTGCTAGGCTAAGAAGATTAACTCTGCATTCCCTTTGTCCTAGTAACCATTCTCTGCATCTGCTCTACTTTCATTTCTCTTGAGTGCTGGTGACCAGAATGTTGCATGAGGTTTCACGAGTTCCACTTCTTTGGTTTGTTTTGGGGGCTGTGTTGTGGTTGTTCAGTTTGGTTTTTTTATGTCATCCCAGCTGTAATGCATTAGTGGTTCATAGCTTCAAGCTGTGCAGACAGGTGATGAGCTGCATCTGTGGGAGGTGGTTTTGATGTTGTTAGTCCCTAAAATGTGATATGTGCAATACACTTACACAAATGAATAGCTTCAGACTGTCCAGTTCTTTCTGCGTGGTGTTCTGATGCTTCTTTTTTATCGAGAATGTCCTTGATTTTTCTACAGCAGCTTTTATTGGCATGCTTCTATTCTTGTGTGCCAGGATCAATTATTAAAATAGTAAGATTAGTCAAAGAAGCAGTCTTTGAAGAAATTTTTGGTAAGTTTCCTCCACACCATAATTTGCCCTTTCACCATTAGTCTCTGCTATCCAACATAGATAACTTGGTATTTTATATTTGTCATTTTACAAGGGCTTCATCGCTTGTAAGATCTTTGACTGAAGAAGTCATTCTGTTGTACCCTAGGCCCTGAAACTCTTGAGATAAACACTGTTCTTTTTAATAATTGCACAACTATTTAAATAAGGGGGGAAAGACTTGCTTGTAATTTGAAAATGTTGAATACTAACAAAGGATTAACTTTTTTCTTTCCCCAAACAGAGCTCAGCTGTGCCTAGAGCTTGGGCCTCAACTGACCATCTCTCCATAGTGTGGTAAGTAATGGAACAAAGGTTAATTGACTGGCTGTGCATATCTCTGTTCTCTACTGTTATCAATTTAAACTATATTTTAACTTCAGCATATTATTATGGTGATGTCTCCTCTGACCACTTCTACTACCCTGGATATTTCCTTTCTAGATTTAATTTTACTACTTCTTTCTTCTAGGTGCAAAGAACTGATCCTGGCTACCATTAGAGCTTTATTTGATCTCATAGATGAAAACACAAGGCAGGTCTGTATATGTGATCTCCTGTATCTTTACCCATGACACTTTCTTCTTTTATCCCAGAATGCTTAGTCAGGAGAAATATCTTCCTATTATACAGAAAACTCCTTTTTGATTATTCTAAGGCATGCTGAGAAAATTCTTGTCATTTTGTCCCAGTCACTGAAACATTCTGTGACTTTGTTGTTTGACCAATGTGTCAGAAATAATTAGAGGTTTACTCAGTTTTCATTATTGACTTCTTGTGCTTTATAGCTGCTGGGGTATGGGCCAGACATTTCTTCCAATGCAGCAGGTTCAGTTGACCTTGCACAAGGATAAACAAATTTTGTTAGCTGTGTAGCTGTGAATGTGACCTCTCAGTGTGTGTTCAAGTCACCCCCTCTGACCAGTATACAAAGGATGAAAAAGCACACGTGGTGATCATAGTGACCAGCATATATTTGTGGCGTTTGTTTTTTTTTCAAAAGCCATTTACAAAAACAGAATTCAAGTAAAGTACCTGCGTATTCGTACACCTCCAGCTACTGTTATTTATTGCTTTTCTGAATTAATATCCTACTCTTACTTTTTGAGAGAATCTCATATTGTACAATTTTCTTTCCACAAGGTCATGCAGCAGTTATCATGAATTGGAATTAAGGCCCAAAGGGTTGAAAATACATCAGAGCAGAGCCTCAGATATAAAAGAGGAAGGACTCCAGGTGTTCTTTTTGAGGCTGTTCTTAGCAGACTTCTCTAGTTTCTCATGTGTACTCATTTTAATGTGTGATTTAGAGAGAGGAAAAGGGGGTACAGTTGTTCTCTAGTTTACTGACTGTGCTGGAAGTTAAAAATTTTCATAAATCAGTTGTAATGGCCACAATATTTGAAAGAAAAATTAGTCCTGGAAAACTTTGTTGGGATATACAAAACCAAACCAATGAAACATAAAAAATGAAAAAAGAACAAATCCCATCCCCAAGCAAAAGCGAATCCTGGTGTAGCTTTACAGCTGTTTAGATGCTTGAAATAGTCAGAAGAGATGTAAAGCAAGCTGGACTTGTGAACCGAGATTAGTAAACCTAAATGTCAGAATTTTTCCTAAGCTCTGGCATCAGTGTGTTATTTCAGGAAGAATTCATGTGTGTCTATAAAGAAAGTTTAATAGAATGGTTTCCTTGTATTAAGAGTAGGTGAGGATATAAAACTTCTGGAAGTTTTAGCTATACTTTATGATGTATAGGCTTTCTGTATTGCAGTGATTGATTATTGATGGCACTTTTCTGTTTGGGTTATTGAATTTAGAAGAGAAAAGGTATTATGTCTTCTCACAATCTCTCCTGCCTTTCATCCACAAAACTGTATGGTTTTTGCTAGCTGTGATCATGTAATGATCTTAAATCACACACATTGATAAAAATTTGATAATGTATTCTCTTTTTTAGATAACTGAGGATGCAAAGAAGAGAATGTCTGTACTGAATCACCACTTTGTAAGACACCCTGCAAAGATATTTGAGGAAAATCCTGAAGTTTTTACAGAACTCCCAGGTGTGCAGCAGTTTTCTTTTGAATAGGATTCACTGATACTTCTTTGTTAATAGTTAATCTTCCCACTAACAAAGTTTTGGAATACACTTTGTCCTTCTTTAGACATTGCTAAAATGATGTACAGGAAACAGACCTAAATGATCAGCTTTTGCTTGGTTTCAGGATTAAAGAGTTTAAAAGGGGTAGGAGCAAAAATCTGTCACTTTTATATAGCTTGAATTCTGGAGGACGCACAGGAGTCACATTTACACCGGCATGTCCAATAAAAAAATCTCAGGAACCGGGAATAGCTGGATGTCAAAAGTCTAATCTACTCTTACATCCCGTGTTTGCCAGAGGGATAGTATGGGTGTTCTAGAGCCTTCTGTTAGTTTTGTGCTACTCATGAAAGTCCTGAATATTCAGATTTGACTTATCAATCACTTCTTTTTTCCTGTGACCTTTCAGTGTAAGATGGACTGCACACCAGGGATTTCCTTGTAAATTGTCTTCCTAAGAATGGGTAGCTAAAAGTGAGAAATTTTGACTGTGTGAAGTCTTGGGAACTAAACACAACTTTAGTAGGGCACAGCTTTATTCCAAGTTTTGCTGACCTGGGCTGAACCGTTTTAGGAAAACCATTTTATTTCAATAAACCATTTCATTTATTTCAATGTAAGATGTTGCAGAAATACTAAAGTAGCTTGTACTTTGGCATCCAGATTTGGCCACCTTTTATAAGAAGGAGTTTAGGCATTGGCATGTACTGAAGTGAGTATTGGAGTGGAAGACCACCAAAATGGTTAGTCCTGAGGCGTAGGAAATGGGGGAAAAAGTCTGATTTAACCGCAGTTTTCCACCCTAAAGAGAATGTCCTGTTGCTGTCTTCAATCACCTAAATGAAAGACTGGAGAGAAGATGAAGTTAGATTTTTCTCAGAGATGAACAGTGGTAGCACAATAGGCAGTAGAATCCTGTTGCAACAAGAGACATTCCAATTGGATGTTAGGACAAAGTACTTCACCCAGGAAGGTGGTCAAACAAACAGAGAGATTGTGAAACTGATTTTGTTTGTTTGTTCACCTTTTTTTGGGGTCAGTTTTTAGCAATAAGGAGGAATACTTTTAAATTGTATTTCATGTTGGCAACTTCCTATTTGTGCTGAGCTCTTGGCACTTAGCGGAATTTCTGTGATGAACTTGTTCCTCCAGTTACATGGAAGAAAGGTATTAACCTGCTTGCATGACAATTGACATTGTTTGTATCTCTAATCTCTTCATTATTCTGTCTTACTCTTTTTCCCCAGATATATCTTTAAACTGCTACTGTTTTCTGTACATGTTATTTACTTCATTGCTGATGCGCTTCTACACAACCTGTATCAGTTTTGAAAAGGCTGACAGGAACAAAGATTGGGGCTGTAGCTATAGTTGACTCACTTTTAATCAGTCACCCTGTAATTACCTTAGTAACATTCAGTTTATTTGTTTTGTTGCCTTTAGATCTTTGTTTCAAGATCCATAGGGTTTTTATTTTACAATTAGTATTTAATAACAAGATCTTGGGATTTTGCTGTTTCCTCAATGTTGGTTAAAACTTAGAAAGTTTATGTCCATCTACAGATAAGAGATAAGACCTTGGTAATAAGTAAAATATAAGATTTTGGATAAAAGAGTAATAGTTCCTGCAGCGTGCCATATAAAAATTAGGGGTTTTTTGTAGGAATTTTCATGTGGATTACAGTCAAAGCCTCAAAATGGACTTACTCAGTTTACAATGTAAGTAATGTTTTTTCCTCATTGTGTTTTTATGTTTAGTTTTGTTTTGTTTTGTTTTACTAATGAGCTTTTTTTTCTGTTAAGGACTCTGATGGAAAATATTTCACGTTTCCTCTTGCAAGCCACAGAAAATCATACAGTCATGTTTACTGTGAAAATAGTATGTTGGTGAGAAAATACTTCTCTCATGTCTGGAGTTTGTTTATAAAGCTGTGGGGTTTTTGAATTTATATTTGCTGCAATTTTAAGACAGTTTAATGGACTTTAAAAGACAGTTGAAATGCTGACATCCATTTACATTCACAGCCTAATGCATTGTGTAAATGTACTACCTCTTGTAGCATCTCACACTTAGTGTTCAAGATCTGACACTTTCAATGCCACTTGAACCTCAGATGTTTTATTTTTGACTCTTATGGTTAGCTCTAGATTAGTTGGTCCTTTACTTTAGTGCAGTTCTGTATTGATGGTTTTGAATGAAGATGTTATTTTTTAGTGCTGCCATGTTTTTGCCATACTTCTAATCTGAGAAAGTTATTTATAGGTTTACTTTCCAACAATACAATTAAAGTGAGTCCGCAAGGCTACAGATGTCTTTCACTAAGCAGGGGAAGTGAATGGAAGACAGATGAGAAAACAGCACCATCTCAGTTGTCTCCCTATTGAGAGGAGAGACCATAATGTGCAGCACTTATATTTTTAGTTCAAGACGCAGGCATTCAGCCAAAATTTTTTTTTTACAAGAATTAATTTTCTCTCCTGCCAAGCTGAAGATGGATAAATACTCTTTTCAGAATTTATATATTTTAGATTAGTGGCAGGAAAATTGATACACTTTACTGTTCCATCCTGCCCACTCCTCCCTTTAGCAAAGATGACATTCCTGGCACCATTGTGAAAAATGATTGTCTGTTCTTGGTGCTTTTCTAAGGGTCCTTCTCAGTGGCACTTCAGTGTTTACACGTATGTTGTGATCTTAGTTGTGACTTAATAGAATGTCATGGTTTGCACTCACATAGGATAACTTCTGCCTTTTTTACAATGCAGGCATTGTTTAGAGTAAAGATTTGGTATTTTCAATATATTTATAAATGCAGTCACACATAGGTAATGTACTGTTTTATGGTATTGATTTTACAGGACACAAGTAGTTGGATTTACGGCTGCATGAACAGTAATTCATCGATGTGGTGAGTATAAACAGTTCCTGTTCTTTATTCAAATGGATCTTGTGAAATTGTGTTTGAATTTAAAGCATATAAATGTCCTCTGTAGGAAGGAAGAGATTGGGAAGTAAAATTGTTATCGTAAAGAATTCATGCTTTCTTTTCACCAAGAAAACAGGAAAGAATAGGTTTTCTCAAAATAGATGATCTTTTTCTTCGTTAAGTTGTGCTTTTTACCTTCTTAGCAGTGAGAAGTCTTTCCTGTTGCTCTCTTGTGGATAGTACATGCTGTGCTGGATTCTAAAATTATGGGCTTTGTAGCATCTAGATGGTTCTGGTGGATGGTTGGACTCAAAGAGTTGCAGTCAGTGGCTCTGTGTCCAAGTGGAGGACAGGGATGAGTGGTCCATATTGGGAACAGCACTTTTTAACATCTCAGTGGGCAGCATGGACAGTGGGTTCACCCTCAGCAAATTTGCCAGTGACACCAAGCTGTGTGGTGTGGTCAACATGCTGGAGGGATGGGATGCCATCCAGAGAGACTTGGACAGGCTTGAGGGGTGAACCCATGCAAACATCATGGGGTTCAAAAGACCAAGCCAAGGTCCTGCACCTGGGCCAGGGAAATCCCAACAGAAGTACAGGCTGGATGGTGGATGGATCAAAACTAACCTTGGGGGAAAGGCTTGGGGGTGTTCATGGACGAGAAGTTCAAGGTGACTCTGCAATGTGTGTTTGCAGCCCAGAAAGCCAGCCACATCCTGGGCTGCATCAAAAGCAGTGTGGCCAGCAGGGAGGTGATTCTGTCCCTCTACTCTGCTCTTGTGTGACCCCCATCTGGAGTGCTGCATCCAGCTCTGGGGCCCCAAACACATGAAAAATGGGGACCTGTTGGAACAGGTCCCAAGGAGGGCCATTAAGCTGTTCAGAGGGCTGGACCACCTCTCCTATGAAGACAGGCTAAGAGAGTTGGTGTGTTCAGCCTGGAGAAAAGAAGACCCCAGGAAAACCTTATAGCAACCTTCCAGTAGCTAAAGGGGGCATACAAAAGAGCTGGAGAGGAACTCAATGTACTTACATACACACCACGTTAGAACTGCTGCAAGCTCTTTAGCAGCTAACAGAATTTTTCATTTATGTGGTATATTTTAGATGTTCCCATAGGAAGAATTGGTACTTTTGATGTTTAAAAGGTGATAATAAAACTGCATGTTAATTTAATCCCAGTGCTGTTTTAGCTCATGAAGAGTTTTCGTTTTGTGTCTGAAGTTGCATGGCTGATAAATATTATGTGTTTTGTCTATGACAGAATTGGAGCTTTGTTTAACTTGTTTTTCCAAAAACAAGATTTACACTGTATGAAATTATATAGTTTGAAAAATTACTATGATAGCTAATATATGATAATAGCTAAACTATGATAGCAGTACACCCAAACTTGTTCTCGATCTAAAATGGGAATCCAGAGAGAGGGAGAGGGAAGCTGGTATGTTAATCCCCTGCCATAACGTAGGGCCTGCATAATGAATTTGCTCATCCTTTAATGTGCATGAATTTTTACAGCCTGGAAGCTACTGATCTGTCCTGGAAAGCTGAGTTACTTCCAACCACCAAGGTAAGTATTCTACAGAATCTGTAGGAGGGAGAGTTGCTTTGGGAGGTAGTCGCAAGTCATGTTTACAGCATTGGAACATGCAGTTGTATTCCAGAGGAAGGAGTACAACAGGTAGAAAACTGGCAAGGGGCAAAGCTAAGGGATATGTTCAGTAATGGCTTTTCTTTTTCTTTTTCTTTCCTTCTGTTTCTTTTTTCCTTTTTAAGGTTGTAATACTGAAACTTCAGGACTATCCCTCTTTGTCCCACATTGTCATTCAGGTACCAGCTGCAGTTGGCAATAAGGTAAAAAAATATGACATGCAGAAATTTCTCACTTAGTGTGTTCATAACTCAGGTGCTATGACAGAAGGAAAAGGAAGTATATTAATTATGTGCTAAGCTGCTTTGAGAAACTGTAGACCTACACTCCACTGTGGTTTGAAGGTAGCTTTTGTTATCTTCTGAAGGCTCAGAAGCACTGAATTTGATAAAATACCAAACACGAGGCAGGAATAGCACTTGAAACATACAAAGCAACAGTTCTCAAATCAGTTCTTAAGGAGTTCTTGTTGGAGATTCTAATGGTTTGGTTTTCTTAATATGCTGTTTGCATTCCTGAATATTTATACCTTTGGACAGTCCTTTCTCTTATCAAGGGTAACAGAGAATATATATATATATATGTATAATTGAAGACACCACATATGGATTCTGAGGAGCATAGGTCAGATACCTCTGCAAGCTCTGAGACCACAAATGTTGTGGTAGACTGAGGTGTGCACAGTTTATTAGTTTAATATCTAATAGAAATTCAGCTCACAAATGAGTTGAATATCTTTGCATCAAGGGCTTCCAGGATCCCAGCATGGGGATCATCACATTTTTAGTGAATCTAAGCAGACTTTGCATATTACCCAGCTGGGTCTGGCAGGCCTTTCCAGTTGATCCTAAAAATGGCAGAACACTGCATTTGAAGGATTTCTAGTCTAAATAGATCTGACATTCCTTTCTGTGACACAAATGCAGTCTCTGTGTCTGGGGTATATAATCCAGGATCCAAGAAATTATTCACAGCTGAAGTGAGTATAATATTCATCTGTGAGTGTATCTTCAGATAGCTGTGACAGGGACATCTTGCAGTTGAACAGTGTTGGGGGTAAGCAAAGATAGAACAGAGATCACTTGTGAAAGAAATGTCAATGCAAGTGCAAAGGTATTATAGTCTTGTGCTCGGTTTAGATCTGTTTTCAATGTCCTGAATTGCAGTATACTTTGGGCTGTGAATTCTTCCAAGAGGATTCCAGAACAGTACAGCTTCCTGTTACACATATTTTTTCATTTGGTAAGTATAGGATATTACTTTTGGTAGAAGTGGAAAACTAATATTAGTAACCTTTGGATAATAAATTTACCTAAAAATTTGGAGGTTGGAGGTTTTTGGAGGTTTGTTTTTCACTAAAGTTAATACTGCTTGTTAGTAACAAAGAAATAAGAAATATAGGGGTTTTGACTAACAGATATAAAAGCACTTAGGTCTCCTGGAAAAAAAAATCTGAAGATGTAATGAGTTCTCAGATAATTTTATCTAATCAGTGAAAATACTACATCCTTTACAGGGCTCTCTTCAAGCAAAATTCTTTTAAATTCAACTGGCTTACTTTACAATGTACAGCTCCAGCACTTCAACCAAGTAAGAATGCTACTTAATTTTTAAGGCTAATGTGACCCCTGTTGGGAGAATGTGACTAATGTTTTTTTTTTATGTTCTAGATATATCAAGCTTTCAAAATTTATATAGAGAGCCACTGCCAGTCACCCAAAGGTAAATATAAGTCTTCCAAAGTATAAATTTATAAAACAAAATTCTTGGAAAATTTCAAGACTGAAGCTGGTAGAAACTGAAGTCCTCTCACGTGGTGGGGTTTAGTCAGTCCTGTTATAATCTGCTCAAATGTCTCCGCTAATATTTCTCAGTTCCCACTTTTTAATAAGGAGGATAGCTCGAAAAAATTGAGAAATGAATCCTCTGATGTTTGTTTTTCTTCTCAGCAAAGGGAAGTTGAACTTGCAGCAGGATTCTGCATTATGTTGAAAGTGTTCCTCAAGAAAAGCGCCTTTGGCGATGATTTTTATTTGCTCATTATGGAATTTAAATTTGCTGAGCTACATAAGCTTAAACAGGATGGGTTACTAAAGGACTCTGTTAAAAAAAAAAAGATGGATTTCATTAGTTTAGGATTTCAGTTTCATATTGAAAAGCAGAAGTTTTCTCATAAGTGTCAGTCCTTTAAACATTGATGTCTCTCACTGTCTTGTCTTGTAACAGCCTGAGTTAAAAAAATGTCCTTTTTGTTTCCTGCTAACTGCACTGATCTGCATTGCAATATCAATTGCAATGTAACTGCAAGCCCAGTGATTTGGTATGCCACCTTTGTTTTACTGGCATTGTAGTTTTTAGAGACAGTTGCCACATCTTGTTTATAACTAATTTTATATTTTTTAATTCTCTTTCATTTCAGAAAGAAAACCTAGTGTTTACAGACTTCATATACCCTGGTCACATGAAGACTCAATATTTGTAGCAAAGTAAGAAATTGAACAATTATAACTTCTTGATATGGTTTTTTTTGAGAATATTTGCATCCTGTTGTAATATTTCTGATATGAGACAGTTTCTCCAGTTTAAAGTGTTTGGCTTCTGCACCTTCACCTTTCTGACCTTGTTGGCGAAGTTGTTTTGACTCTTCCTCAGAATAAGAATACCCAATAATTATTTGCATAATGGTTCTCACTAATTTTCTGGAAAAAGTTGAACCACCTGACTGTGTATTAGATGGCTGGAAAACTGTCTTCCTTCTTTATTTTAGAAGTCTTAAGGATACCTCCTGATTTCCCCTCCTCCCTGTATTTTCTAACAGCACAGCACAGACAACTGAATTGTATTCTTGAGAATCTGTCTTTCCTATTCTTGTCACTCAGCATGTTTACCTGTTCTGTGAGAATCATAGAATCATAGAATAGATTGGGTTGGAAAAGACCTCCAAGATCATCAAGTCCAACCCCTGATCCAACTCTAATTACTCTATCATGGCACTAAGGGCCATGTCCAATCTCTTTTTAAAAACTTCCAGGGATGGTGAATCCACCACCTCTCTGGACAGGCCGTTCCAATGCCTGATCACCCTCTCTGTAAAGAATTTCTTCCTAACATCTAACCTAAACTTCCCCTGGCAGAGCTTGAGCCCATGTCCCCTTGTCCTGTTGTTGGTTGCCTGGGAGAAGAGACCAACCCCCACCTGGCTATAACTTCCCTTCAGGTAGTTGAAGAGAGTGATGAGGTCACCTCTAAGCCTTCTCTTCTCTAGACTAAACAATCCCAGCTCCCTCAGCCTCTCCTCATAGGACTTGTGCTCAAGTCCCTTCACCAGCCTGGTTGCTCTTAGGCAGTGTGTTCCCTCAACTTGTGTGCTTTCATTAGTGCTGTGCCCTTGTTAGTTCAGAGGAGAGTGGATTGAGGATTGAGAAAGTCATGGAGTTCTTTGTGATAAGATTAACAAGTTCCTTATACCATTTCGCTCATAGCATGTAGTGACACTTGGTGTACTAAATCTGCTTTGCACATGTTGAAAACTAAGACGTGTTTGGCTTTTTTTTTGGTTATAAGGGCAACAATTACCATTTAAATTGCTGTTTCAGAGCCCCATCTCTTACTGAGATTTCTGCCAAGCTGCATGTTGCTCAGCCTGGGAATGGCAACAGGGCTCCAGAGTTAAATATCTACTCTTCCTCAGACTGTCAGTATGAAGTGAGTAACACAGTGTTATTTTGTAGCTTAGTTTGCATTGCTGTGTAATTTATGCCTAATGTAGTTTTTTAAAATATACAGCTAATTAATCAAAATAAATAATAAGCAAATCTAAAGATGGGCTGTTTGACCTTTTTGTAAATGTACTATGTGTTACAAGTATTTTGCAACAGCCGAGTAGTATTGAAACCAAAACTTTGAAGCGTTTGTTTTTAAAAAGTCAGTAGTAAGGTGGTGTACATTTTAGTTGTGGGATTGCTGTATTCTAATACTTAAGTTGGCTTCTTAAAAATTGAAGTATTTTGTACTTACACTTACCATTGTATAAAATATTTGTTTTTTCTCAAGGTAATTCTGAAGACGTCACTTCTACAGGTTCTTGGGCAAGTAAGAAAACCTAAATTGGTTTTTATGTCAGTAGCATCTTTAGAAATTTTTACTTCTTCCCTTCTCTACTGCAGTACTTCAGATTCCTCCATGATGCCAGGAGGAACACTAACTACTCAATGATCATTTCACAACCTTGTCACTTGGCAGGGCACCCCATCTGGAAAAATGTCAGGCCTCAGTTTTCCGAGGATTAGAGGAGCACTCCAGCTCTAAAGAGCTGCTGTAAATGCGGAGCATTTCACTTTGTGGTTAGCTCGATATCTGTAAGGGATGACACTGGAGGTCACTTTAACTTTCTTGTCTGATGAGTCAGGAGTGTTAAAACTTTAAAATACATTTGGCATCAATTAAAAGTTAGGGGGAAAAGTCTAAGTAGATCCATATGCTCCTTTTCAACAAATTTTCTTCGGTTATCAATGAAGAATACATTTCAGCATGGGTATCAGTAAAAATAGACTAGCCATCTGCAGTTTCCTGGGTCTAAAAAGTAATTAATTTGCAAGCACCTAAGTGTGGTGCTGGAATATTACTGCCAAGGTTCTCTCTTTGAATCTATGCATTTATATGAAGGACTTTTAATCCTGTTGTTATTTTAGAAGAATTTATGTTCTATTTGTATATTAATCATGACTCAGGAGACTGGAAGCCAATTAACACAGACATGTAACTGCTTCTAAAAATTCTTTGCTTAAAAACATATCTAACTATATGCAGATTTTGCTTGGAATGTGGCCTTTTAATTTTTTGAAACGTATTTTATTGAAATGTATGATATTATATTTTTTAATATTTGTCTTAACTGGAAAAAAAATTGTTTATAAGTTGGTCATTTATCAAAACATGTTTGATTTAACCATTTATAAGAGATTCTAGCATTTTCCATATGTAACATTAATTGTTAATGTAGTTTATAAAATACTTATGCATAAAAAGGAGACGCTTTTTTAAGAAAATATTTTAAGAAATATTTTCTAATTGCATTATCGTCTTGACTTCATGATCATATTTGTTTGTGTGTGTTTTAATATATTTTTATAGATAGTTATCTGTATATTCTTGTCTTTCAGATAGTAAGGTTCCATGCTGGTGCTTTTCCTGTCTATATTGTTTCTAATATTCTTCTTACTTATGGAGGACAATTGAGCACATTGAGATCAACAGGTAGCTTTCTAGAATTTTTTTTTTTCCTGTCACAAGTGTTTTTAGAGCAATTACGTAATCAATTTACCGATGAAAGACCAGCTAGTTGTAAATTTTTTAAGCTAAGTATCATTCAACTTATGCAAATAATTGGATCTGTGCTCCTCAGTTTTGGGTTTTGTTTGCTGGTAGTTCTCCAACATTGTGTTGTAGCAGAATATTTCCTTTATCATTTTATTCTGCAATAGCTTCTTGGTGAATTATTTGTGTTGCACAGTAGTTTTGCATTAACAGAAGTCTACTTAAAAATACATACAAAAGTTTAAAATATATTGCTAGTATGCAGAAACCACTTTATTTCTTGCACAAAGATGAGATTTGCAGAATAACTTTGAGCCATGTCTTCAGACAAAGTGCATTTTTATTAAAATTCAGGTGGTGTTTGTAACAAACTCCATAACGTCTCTAGAAACTCTTGTGACTTACCTAATGTGAGTGATCCATTGAATAAGAGCCCTGGTGATGAAGTACTCAGACTTGCAGTTCTGTAACAAGACATGGTTATCTTTTCAAGTAAACTTTCACACTGTTGTCTGAATTTAATTTTGTTGCTAATGATGTTTGTTAAAGTTCACAACACAATAGTAACCATGGGTGCTCTCTGTTCTTGATTCCAGGCCAGTGCTCAGACTTTTCCCTTGAACTAGTTAGGACAGCTAAGCCCTACAAAGTAGAACCTCTTATAAGCATTGTTGTGTTTCTGCAGGGGTGAGTTTGCATTATTTGTTTGTTTGTTTGTTTAGTTTCCAAAACAGACATTTCAGTTAAACTATTGCTGGGAAGGAATATTATTTTATCTCTAGTTGTTGTGAACACCTGACTGTGATTTTGTTTGAAAGGCTGTAGTAGGAGGAATAGTTGATAGATATCTTACTGTAACACGTTTGGATGTGATAAATAATACTGCTTTCATGTTTTTGGCAGGTTTAACTGGTTTAGAGAGATATGGGAATCACTGTCACTCCCAGAGGTGGATGCTGCTGTACTGAGTAGTCAGGATGCATGGTTCCCCCTTGTGTCCCTGATTCTATTTCTTTTTGGGACAGGCATTGCCTACTGGAGTGGAGTATTTTTCTCTACGTCTCTGAGACTCTTCTCTTCATTATGGTTAACTCTGATCAGGTAAAACAGCATGATATCATATAATTATACTCTTTCAGATGACTTTGACCACGACAGTTCTTTTTCATTCTGTGTGAATATCTGGGCAGATTGAATTCTGCAATGTAGTTCATACATGATTTTAGACATCTGGGTTTGTAAGTGTTGAGAACTGAAGCAATATGATGATTGCCTCCTATTCCTTATTCCACGTTTCCAAAAGAGAACATAAATGTCTTTCTTGTTATCTTCACCAGCTGTTATAAAGGTTTTCAGTTTGGTTTTGAGGAAAACTTGTTGGGGAAAAGAAAGCAAAGAACTATTCCCTTTTCAGCAACTCAAGGAAAAAAAAGTAGTAGTGTTAGAATCCATTCCTCATTAGTGATATTGGATCAACTGCATTAAATAATACAAGCAGGTTTCTAAAACAAAAACTTCCTGAGCATTCATTTTAGTCTACAAGACTGTTTCATTATATAGGTCTGTCTGAGAACACCCGAATGCTTTTGGCAGTACAGATGAGTATTCAAATATGAAAGGGGTTTTAAAAATGCAAGGAAAATAAAGAGATTTCGAAAGAGTAAGTTAGTAAATTGGATAACATGCTTTTCTGAGGTTGTGGTTTTAGTGGCTTGAGTGTTCTGACACAGGTAAAAGTCCTCATTTTGATTTGAGCCAATTTGTCTCCAGAAGGTGGGTTGAGATGTTCTTTAAGTAAATACCCACAAAAAGATCTCTTTCTTCTTTTAATCACTTCAGGTCTGACTTGACCAAATAATTGATGAGGTTTTGGCTATTTTTGCTCTACCGTTTTGTTTATAAATTACACTGGATGTTTCATTATTAGTTTTAAGCGACAAATTAATGAATTTCTGAGTTTGAAGTTATTCCTACTGAACCTTTAAGAGGTTTAGCTCAATTCATACTCTTTTCATTAAAGCTTTTGATTTCTTGACCCTGAGAATGCCTTGGGCAGAGGCAGGAAAATAAGATTTTGTGTGCCTATGTGTAAGTCAGCTGGTTCATTTTTAAATTCTAGTGCCTTACACAGTTCTAGTACCTTACATGGGTTTTGATCTACTCCTGAATTCCTCGATAAAACTCCCCAAAATTATTTTCTATAAATCTCTCTGAAGTAGATAGCATTCACTTGAGTTTTGCTTAGTGTTCTGAAATGATCTGATATGGCCAGCAGCAAAGAATTTGTCATTAGCTGTCTGTGGAACTCTTTGTTTCTTGTCAGCTGGTCTTCTTTTTGTGTTTATTTTTAATATTTGCTGCAGAGGCTTTTACAATTGAATTTTCCAAATACTGTTTTTTTCTGTTCTCAATGTCTACTTTAGTCCTACAATATCCAACTTTTGCATAGTTCTAGTGCATTTCCTCCCCAGCACATTCCCCTCATTGTCACACCTTCTCAGCTCATCTTTGCCATTTCAGATTGTCTCTTACTCATATCAGCTGGAAACCAGAAACTTAAAATAAGCTTTTCTGTGTGTCTCAGACTGTGAACAAGCAGAAATTCCTGTCTGGGAAGAATGTTTTTCACAGAATTAATCTCCTGGGGACTGACTGTGTTGTACTGCTGTACTGCCTCTGAACATTGCAGTGCATCAGCGTTTGTAGAAGGAGCCACTTCCATGAAGCAGCTCTGCAGTAATAAGATACTTGTTCTTTTGAGCTGTTAGCACTGTACATTAGTTTTATGGGTCCTTTATGTTCCCCAAATGAAGTAATATAATACATTAATTGCAGACATGCATTCTAGAAGGTATAATATATAGTTTTATTATTTTATTTGCTGAGATGGCTTTTCTTACAAAGTAGTTTATATAGCAGTTGTTACATATGTTTACATTTGTCTAACTTTATTTTTCCAGTGTTAAATCAACATTCAGGAACAATTTTTTCAGTCATTCAAAAACCAGAATTATTCTTTCATCTTTTTAGGTCTGATGTTGTTACAAAAATATAACAGTAATTTTGTTTCTTTTTTTTTTGCCTTTTTTTAATTTTTTTAGACCTACTGTACTGGAAAAAGATAAGTTGATTACACCCAGAAGACTCTGTGGGATGTTATCCCTTTCTTTGGTTAGCTGGACAACTTGTGGTGCATTTGCTGTATTCCTTATTTATCTTCAATACTTGTTTAAGGTACTGAAAGGCTAAACGTTCTGAATTTGTAACTGAATTGAAAATTTTGTGTGCTTTGAATTAACCCCACGTTAAAAGCAAAAATCCAAGTTACCATTTTTCGTACATAAACGTTCTTCTTCTCATTCTTGAAGTAGTTTTTTTTTTTAATTTAGTGGAGTGTAAACGAAGACTAAGAACTCCTTCAAAGAGAAACTTGAACAAAGAGAGGACTTGAAAAGTTCTGTAGAATACTTTACACTTTTCATGAATCTTTATGGAGTAAAAGGAAGGAAGGTGGATATATTGAAGAATTAGGATAGTCTTCTTGTCCGTCTAATCTGATCCCTCGGGTAGTGCCACAAAGAGCCGTGTTTAGTCCCTGCTGTTCAGTTTCCATGGTCTTCCTTGCATCAGAGCCTCCAACTCCTCTGATTCACCCTAGGGTTATGTAGCTGTTCAATCAGCTGCTATACTTGGCTCCTAGGGAAGCAGGGGAGCGTGGATCTGAGAGCAGGGGCACAAAGCAGAGCAGCTTTGGTGGTCTGGAGCAGGCAAGTGGCAGCTGAAAGCACAGCCTGAGGAGCAGCACTAACTCAGGTTGAACTCCCTGAACATTCTACAAAGAATGTTCCCATGCTGACAGAAATTCCCCTTCTGCATTACATTTCTGACATGGAACTTCTCCTATATGGCCTGTTTAGGTTTCTGCTGAAAGCCAAGTAGAAATAAAGTAGAAATAAATTAAGGGGTAAGGAATATGCAGGTTTCCCACTCTGTCAAGCACAGTGGAACTCCCTCCTTAATAGAGCACTTTGGGTGCTGCTGATAAAGACAGAGGGAATTCTTGCACTGTAGCTGTTGGAGCCCTAAAATCATCCAGCTATAAAAAGGAAGAAAAAATAATGTCCTGATTTTTTTTTCCTATACTACAGCTTTTTTGTGAAGAAACATTACTAAAAGTTGAACTCTTTGTCTTGCAGGTTATAAGACTGCATGTGAATGTAAGAGCAGAACAAAACAAGCTCAACAGGGTAAGTCTCTTTCCTGCTTCTGTTCCAAACTAACACCAAAAATTGTTTGGCAAACTTATGCATTATGAATTGGTAGTAATAGGTTGTACTGTGATGACTGGATGAAACATAGTTAATAAAGCCAGAAAAAGTTGATGGAAGTTTTCTTTGGGTTTTTTTTGGTGGATTTTTTGTGTGTTTCATTTTCAATCCTCTCATTTGCATATAATTTTGTTTTCTTTCATTTGTGGGGTTTTTTTCCTGTCATTGGAAGTTAGTATCTACCAACTCATTAGTTCATCTTTGCTATTTATTCCCACAGCTAATATTTTACTCCCAGTTGCATCACCTCCTATATCTTTTCTGTGAATGATCATCTGTGATTTTTCACCCACATGCTTTATTACTCCTTTTATTCTGTTCTTTCTCCTTCCAGGAACTCCATTTCTTATCACTGCATTGGTATCAGGGCATCTCCACTCTCCATTCTTTTCTTCCAGAGACATCTAAACTATTAGTGTATGATAAATTTCTGGTTAAATTTAGGTGCTTTAAAGTTGAACTATTAAATTACACTTTTGATGGTTTTTTGAGGCTTAAATTGCAAATTCTCTTCCTAAATTAGAGCTGGTGTGATACAGTTAGGATTTTTTTCCCTGTCCTTTTTCCCCAGCCTGGGTTCTTTCAAACCTGTGCACATTTTTGTGACTTTGTCTTTCATTTTCAGGATTCAGACCACTCACAAGAAACTTCACAGAACTCCAGTATACACACAGTCAAACCCCAGAGTTCGATGGACAGTGTTCCAGAAATGAGCCAACCTCTTACCAACAGTACAGCAATTGCTGAAGCTGTTAACAGTCTTAAGATGCACCTTACAATCCTCAATTTATTCACGTGGATTGTGCTGCTCAACTTGCCATCTTTAATTTATTGGCTAAAAAATCTCAGGTAAATTCTTAAATTGCCACTAAGGTGGAAGAAAGGAATATGAACCTTGGAAGGTTATAAAAATTGTAAATGTTTCTCTTTACATTATTAGCTACCTTATAGTTTCAGGTATTTCTGTTAGTTGTTATTGTCTTCTGTCTGCACTCCAGTTTGTGCTGTGTGTAAGTAGGTGTTAAAGGAATTGGTGATATGCTGAAGAAAGTAGTGATTCAGAAACTATTTAAAATCAGGTTTTGATGCTATATGAATATAATGTATATTTGTTATCAGCACATGCTTGTTCCCAATGTAGATATTATTTGGTAGCCTAATTTAGAAGTAACAAACTTTTTAAACCGTTTCTTTGCAGGTACAATGTTAGGCTTGATCCTGATCCATGTAGATCTACAGCTATTATCATCGTGTGCATTTTAGAAATTCTAATGAATTCAAGTACTTCTGAAGTGAAGTCAAGGTACTGTAGCCTAATCTCTAGTTTTGTTTTCCTGCTTCTTTGTTACTTACCATTTATGTGATAAAACTTAACTTATGCTGTACAGACCTGTAATTGTTCAGCCCATGTATAAATTCAGGAACTCATATGATAAATCCAAAAGACTAGGTAAAATGTGTGCAAATTACCTCTAGTTCAGCTAAGTGGAGAAAATCCTCTTTATTTGCCACATAGCAATAAATTAGTCATGTGCTGTCTAAGCAGTCGGTTGCATAACTAGGTCTTATTGTGACTTTTTAATTCATGATTCATTGAATCCTTTCAAATGTTACAGAATCCTAATACATGTAGCAATTATTGTCAGAAAGTTATGAAGGGAAGTGAATTCTAAAGCATTATAGTAATGTTCTTGTACCTCCCCTTATGGGAACACCTGTGGAAATGTAATGTGTTTTCTACTGGATTAAGAAGTTTTGATCACTTGTTTTTGCTGACAGGTAGAGCATTTCTTGTCCAGATATGAAATTAGGCAATGCCTCAGGAAGGACAATGAATAATAATGAATGTCATTTATGCTCTTGACCAGTACCTGTTATCTCAAGTTAAGCGTTAAGCCATTAAATCTTCCTTTGTTACAGAGAGTTTATTTCTAAATTAATATAGAAATATTTTAATGACATTTTACTACCCTTTTTGAGTAATTGCTCTTGCTTCATGCATCAGTTGTTATTGCCCACTAGACCTAGTACTTCAGTTTGAAAAATTAAAAAAACCTTGAAATATAAACTGTTTTGCAAAGAAAAGTGAAATATGTTATTTGCGTACCTTCTATATGGGCGGGCTACATAAGTGGTAATTTTTGTCTTTGTACTCTTACAGTAAACTCTTGAAGATTGCAGCCAAAGTTCCACTCCCTTTGTCTGTTGCGATGCTGGCCTTTGGACGAATGCATTTGTACAGAGTGCCACACTTTGTAACCTTTTCTCTTCTCCTACATGTGCTGTGCTGTGTTGTGTAGTGTTCGTTCTACATAGGAAGGACAGTGCACTCAAGAAACTTAACACTGGAGATGGGGCGAATTTCAGCGAAGAAATGCCTAAATTAATATCATCAGTCGTTTACGTTATGTGGGAAAGAGAACAGAACTGGGAATCCTTTATGAAAAGTTCATGATTCTGTTCATGTTGCTTAGAAGGCTTTTCACGGTGTTTATTTCCTGACCCTTAAAATCAAGTGATTTAACTGTGTGTAAGCACATAAATCGTATCAGTGCAACGTCTCAGTACTCTGCCTTGTAGACACTTTGATATTTCACGGTATTGCTTTGTTGAAACAGACTTTTTTTACTCACTGTGCCATACAGTGTGTATGCTCTGAACTTGCATCTCTTGCAGGTCTAAAGTATGCTGGTTAAAACTCAATACATTTCAAGCACACTGTGACTATCACAAAAACTACACAGCCAAGTATACTTTTAATTATTTTATGTACATTTAAAAGCTGCCACAGTTGTGTCTAGACAAACTAGAATGTACTGCTTATATAGAACTGTTATTTCTATCAAATCATTTGTTCAATCAGTGTGAGTTGAACATTTGTGAGATTATTAAAAGTCTTACACTTTTTACTTTTTGTGAGAGTGAGAAAACAACAGTATTCTATGTAGCTTTCTATTCAGGAAGGATACCAGCAGATTCGTAAACAATTTGCTGTGATGTTGTTTTAAAACATTCAGTTTTCTCTGGAATTTTGAAATTAATCCTTGGACTTTGTCCATATGTAGAAGCTAGCAAACCTTGAGGTGTGGTGTGAGTTAAGTGTTGTACTGCACTGTTTCCAAGTTGCTTTTTCCCTATTGTAAATGGAGAATCAATCATCTCCTAATAAATTCCCATACATGAAATGAATATGGAATAGTTACAATACTGTAAACTCCTGCCCTGCCATACAGTGCTAACTTCTGCATGTGGACAAACTCTTAGTAATAGTGGGAAGTACTGACCATAATTATTAGCTCTGTATAAACTATTATCTTAGTGCCTAGATGCTACAGTGACTGCCATTTATAATAAAGCCTAAAATAGCTCTGTGTAAGGAATTCTGTCCCCTGGGCATGTGTTTTGCCAACAGAAGAAATCTCAGTAGCTGCTAGGTTTAAATGGTGTGTTGATTCTGTGTAGAGATGAGCCTGCTCCTTGCTTCTGTGTTAGCTGTCTCTGCTGTGTCTGAGATTACCTGTTATTGTCATATGGAAATACCAGACCAGCTCAATCATCTTATAGGAATAAAGAGAGGAAGTCTGCTGCTCACAGTCAATCAAGTATATTCTTGATATAGTAGTACAGCCAGCCTGACCCATTAATTTAATTGTATCTCATTAATCTTGCCTAAAGTGCCTCAGTTAGTTCTAACATGTTTTTAGGGTCCATTCATCTGAGCTGGTTGGAATGACTCAACTCACCCAGGGACTTTCCAGAATGAAGGACAAATGTGAAGTAAGGATGTGTTTTGTTTGCTTACATCCAAGTCAGCAGTTCACGTTATTAGTAAGTCATTAAAACTGCTGTAACTGAGTAAGGCTATTGTAGTCAGCCAAACTACTGTCACTGTTATCAGTAATCTGTGTGCTGGTATTCTAGTCTTGGCCTTTTTTAAAAAGGTTAGATTATACATAGTGTTGTAAATCAGAGAAGTTATTTGAATTGATAATATCGTGATTTTTCTGATCAAATGTATGCTACAGTATATGTATATAAGAAATTGTGTGACTAATTATACTTGTAGCTAAATCCAACTCTTGGTTTAACAAAAAAATTGCTGTTCAATCATAGAAGAATAGAGAATTTTTCTATTGCAGATGGCTGTGAATGAAAGATGGTGGCAGAACTGCATTAGGGCTGTCTGTGAAACGTGCAGGACCTGATTTCTGCGGAAGATAATTTTCCTTGACCTTCATGGTCCTGTTGACTTACTGCTGTATTTTACTTCTGATTTTGTATTGCCATCTTAATGGGCTCTTTATCCATTTGCTGGAACTGTTGGTGGAAAGTATTAATCAGAACAAGGAAAGCAAAGTCTCTGCATGTAGTTGCTTTGATAGCTTCCAAAATGTGCCACAATGTGAAACCTACTGAATTAAAGCAGCATAGAATAACACCAATTTTTAAAAATTTTATTTGTTTTCTTAAAACTGGGAATTCTACTGATAATTATTAGCACTCTTCATAAAGTGAGTTCCATAATCTTGTATATATTCCTGCTTGATTTTAGGTTGAAGGTAGAAATAGATATCCTGAGTCTGAGATCCCAGAGGACAAGGGTTTATCACACCTCCCTCAGTGCTACCTTTTCTCAGAGATAGTTTACCTTTGGTGGGGAAAGGAGGGGAAGTTTTACTCCTGCTTTGAACTTATATGCATTGTGTACCATTTGATAGATTAAAATTGTTGTCAGAGATGTGCATCTGGATTTTGCAGTGATCATGGACTGGACACCTTCAGCTGTTTGGCAGATTAGGAGTCTAATCCAAATTAGATCTTCTATATAATCAATGGATGGTAATAGGATTAGAACAAGTCCAGAGAAAAACCCATCCCATTCTAAGAGGATGAATTATCCCACTTGCCATTCTGGAAGGAACTAGATTTCATAGCAGTCTAAAATGATATTTCGGATAAAATACAATGATTGTTTGTTACTTTTGGACAAGAAGCTTCCATGAGGCGAATCTGTAGTTCTGCCACTGATCACAATTACCATTTTAGCAGAAATGTAGGCTAACCCAATATAAATACTTTTAATTGCATATATGAGGAGGTCTAAGTATTACTGAAATATCCTTTATTATGAGTAGGGTGCATTTATAAACAGCTTTTGGCAAATACATTATAATATCTCTTATTACCTTTAGCTAAATTAAAATTCCAGTTTATTCTTCAAATTTTAGATTATGTAGCTGTGTGGGAGAAGAACAAGATGCAAATTAACTTGTAAAGGTTTATACCTCAGCATGCATTCAAAATAGGAACTATTTATGTGGCTTTATTGTAACATTTTTTATAAGCTATCAGAAACAGAATGAAAAAACAGGGTAAGAACTTAAAGTACTTTGGTACAGCATAAATGTACATCAGAATCTTTCTTTGGCAGGGGTAGATTTTGAGATGAGAAGCTTTTATTGATATCTTCATACCCTGAAATTACTCATGAAGTCTCTAATCTATTCTGGTTGATGTCATCAGACTTGGTTCCTCAGTGCTGCAGTCACAGGACCTACACGTGTAGCAAACAGTTCATAGGAGGTCTCTGTGAGTCTGGTAGGGGAGGACTCACCTCTTAACTGGAGTTACCAAATGCACCTGGAAACTGAAGAATGAACGTTGTCCAAAGGTGGTATTTTTAGTTTTGATTTCAAGGCTGGTTGCAGTGTGTCACACTTCGGCACCCTGTTAAAAGGGGGTTGAGTTTTTTGAGTTTTGGTGGGAGGGGTTTTTTGGGGCATGTTTTTATTTCCAAAGAACTTGCAGTAAATGAAACTTAAGTTAATATTATTCTCAGTATTTAGAGTTCTGCCCTGATTTTGGTTTTGAGTGAGCTAACTCATGTAGCAATTCACTCCTGAATATTAATTGGCTAAGTTTTAAAACAGATGAATAACAGCAAAACCCTAAACAGTGCAGGAGTAATGTATTGCAGGAGTCATAGAGACTGCCTATCTGTCTAAGGGAATTTTTCATTAACCTAATTGGACTATCTTTAAAGTCAGTGATTAATAAAATAAAATTTATTGACACTTAAAAAACCAAAAGCATTGCATATTTTGGTATTCAATACGACAGCTGATTTTCCATGTGTTTGCAAGTAGCCAAGGTGATGACCTTGTTACTTGACTTTTTTTCTGAAATCTGGTACATCTGCTTCTAAGCTTTGACAGGACAGAATAAAGTCAATTATGTGCCTGTCAATAAATGTTAACATTTGAGAAACTTTCATTTGAATCAAGTTTATTGCAATACAGTGATGAGTGTGTTTAGACTTTATTTGTACTGAGAAAAAACCAACCATTTGCTGACCTTCAATACTCTGAGTTATGAAAATGATTTTGGAAGCTGTTATAGTGTCTGTACAGAATTGTACTGCTGTTTGAAGTCACTCAGCTACTAGAAAATTGTTGTTGTAAAACAGGCTAAAATCTTAATGCTTGTTTTTCATTTAATGGTGAATGTTTCTCACTGAATTTACAGCTTTGACATTTTGCATCTCTTTTTTTTTTTCTGGGAGATAATCAAGCTAGCTTTTATAAGCACTTAGCTTGGTACTGTGAAACGTAAAATTTTCCTCACTGTTCCTTTAGGGGAGGTGTACTTACATACTTCTGTCACCAAAGCTCCTTGCTGCTGTTGTATAGCCTCTAGGAAATGTGTATGAACAACAATTCAAAACTAATTCCTTTTTTTATGCTAAAGTAAGATAGTTTTTCTACCTTTTTCTTAGAACCAGAACTTTAGGCTAGAAGATTAGAATCTGTAAAATCTTAAAAAATTTCTTTGAAAACCTGTTGTAATGTATATTCTTATGTATGGAAGAAAGTGTTCAGTGCTTTTAATCAGCTCATCTATCCTCAAACTTAAATAAAAACTATATGTTTTGTCTTAATAATAGAAATTAATTTTAGAAATTAATTAATTAATTTAGAAATTAATTTTGCATCTCTAAAGACCAGGAATGGCACACAGAAACTTGTTCCTTTGTGGCTCATCATTCCAGTTCCTCCTTCCCCTGCAGTTATCTTTGGTTTGCAGGGTCCTTCCCCTGTAGTACAAACCACAATGTTCCCAGAACATCAGGTCTGGTGAAAACACACAGCAGCTGTCCTGTAGACTGTTTTTCTAGTGAAGTTTTGCCTGTTTGTTGAAATACCAGCCAAGACTCTTTCTTTTTTTCCCTTCAACTTAAATAGTTTCAGGGTATATATATATTAAGCATCGTATGTGCAAGTGTGTTGATGTTTAGTTTTATAAAAGGCTGAGTGCACTATTTTGGCATCGATGCAGGCTTCAGTATTTTCCACCTACATCACTCTGAGTGTGAGAACAGTATTTGAGACTGCAGCACCTGACAACTGAAACATTTTACAGAAGTATGCAGGTAGTAGGCAGGACACATATAATTAGAGTGCCAGACCAAAACTGAAATGCGAAATTCCTCACTGTGACTTTGAACTTGTAGCTTTCTAGAGATAAAAAAATAGAAAAAAATACTGTGCCTTAAACCAGTAAATGGATACACTCTTAACTGTAGCCTGTGGACTTCTGTAGCCTTATATTTGATTTTTGAAGTTGACCAAAAATGTTTGTGTGGATCATACTGAAACTTGATTTGGGGAAAATACTTAATTCTTTTGACCCTGTTTTGTGCTTAGAGAAATGAAGATTTATGACAAGTACAATATATTTTTTGGTTTGGAATCCCACCAACCAAAGTTAGAAAGCTTTAGCTGACCTTAATTTCTCAAATCTTTTTGTTAGGTAAAAAAGAAAAATAAGGAAAAGTAGTCTCAGAGATTTGTCTCAACTTTGAAGTCTGTGTGTCAAATTATTTTGAAACATTTTGTTCTTCATCTTCTTCAAAAGAAAAGAAAATCCTCTTATTGTAGTTTATGCAAAATACTGTATTTAAACCATTGAGTATCAAAAATCTATGCTGGTATGAGAATAAAACTAAAAAGGGTGAGATAAATTGTTTGTGTTAAGACACCAGAAGTTTTGAATAATAAATTTCACTTTTTAGGAAAAATATTCACATATAAGTCCCTGAAAATTCATGTGTAAATTCTCTTTTTGGGTGGAAAAAATTTACACATTGTTCTTCCTAATTCATTAAAGAAAACCAGAAATAGTCAAGATCTTAAAATCTTGTTTTAGTACAGTAGAAGATTTCTTACACTTATTTGTTTGGTATGAAGAGCTAAGGAAAAGCCACTGCTGAGTTTCCTTATATGTCTCTAGAGGATTTGTTGTGTGTTTTGAACAGACACCCACAAATTGGGACTTCACCACCTTCCTGTGTTGGTACCATGTACCAGTGAATCTGGAAAAATGATGCCATCTCAAAGCTTATCGTTGTGCTGTGGGTATTTAGACATGCACACACAATGACTGCATGGCAGCAGATCACTGTAGTTGTTTGCAGCAATACAAATCAAGGCTATTGACCTTTTTTATTGAGAACTTTTATTGAATCTGGGTGCCACAATGCTGCTGGTGCTGTGGCACAACAGATAACATGCAATTTTTGTGTCTTCCCTGTTAATTCCTTCTTGTGTGTTCATTTAGGACCCCTACAATTCATTCTGGTCACCCAAGTTTTTCTTTTGTGATGATGTTTCAGTAATCCCACTCATCGGTGATTTCCTACAGGAATGTTCTAGTATTAAGAATTATTGAGATGGTAGAACTACCTTTAAGGCCTTTATATATGATGATAACTCGAGAAAAGCTCTGTAACTTGATTCCCCACCTACCTTTTAATTGTTTTTTCCAGGCACAAAGACAGAAGGATGTTGGCAAAAATATCTGGTTTGGGTAATTAGACAGGAGGTGTTTGGTTTTAAGAGGACTTCAAACTTGGAAGAACACATACATAACTTTTGGAAAAATCTATCACAAGCAACCTGTCTTACATGTTTTTAACTCTTCCTCTGTTTTCAGTTTTTACATAGCTACTGTAAACCTGCTGTTGTGTTGTACATGGAACTAACTCTTAATAATTACAGGTTTCTAGAGATGTTGACAGAGTCTTATCTGTAAATGTTTTATGATGCTATAGTAAATTTTTGTGCTTATTAAAATGTTTATAACCAAGTTGCTACAGATCGTGCCATGCATCGTAAGCTTTGGCAAAGTCCTTGTCTTGTGAGATGCTCAGAAAAACTTGGAGAAGAGGTATTTTCAGCTAATGTTGAAATTGCAGAAAACTGAAATCTCAGTCTTTAAAAACTGTGCTTTTATATACTGGTACTTTTTTGTTGTAGTTGAGGGCAATTTGATTGGAAACTACTCTGGGATTTTCACATTTTGTTTGACGTTTTCCCAGTCTGCAATGTATACTTCAAATTTTTTTATTTGTCTTTTTTTTTACCTAAACGTGCATGACTTAGAGTACATTGTATAGCATACCCCCTGCTAAATAAACACTTTTGTATATTTTTGTACGGTGTCCTAACGTGGTTGCATTAGTACAAATGGTTGTAATTCACAAAAAAGTGCCACTTACCAGTCCTAGTGTGTAGAGTGTTGTGTTACCTGTACTTCTGTTGTACAAACACGCTAATGAGTGTTGTGATGAACGTCTGCCTTTAGTCTTTGCTCAGGTACTCGTGTGAAGCAGTCTGGTGCTTTTCCTTCTAACTTGTAATACTTGGAATTCTAAGCAGAAAATAAAAATAGCAAACCAAAGCCTTGTGGTTGGAGCAGTGCTTTAACAGATGCTTTTTTCACATCTGAAGTAGAACACAATAAAGAGCATACTGGCTGGAGCCTGTCTCGGTATCTTAACTTGAACATCTTAGGCTTGCTGTCATGAGTGGGAAATGCAATAAAGTTAAAAATGTTTGGTGAATAAAACAGCTTACATAGGGCATCATATGTGTAAAACCTTTTCTCACCTGAACTAATGCATTTTAAATTTTTACCTTTTTGAGGTAAATTGCAGGGATCTGAACCAGCAACGCTATGAGTGTTTTCAGCTTCAGGGCAATTTAATTCAAACATACATGAACATTATTTACTGTGCCATAAGGGTAATATAATTCATATAGACACTTTGAAAAGATTTGATTTACTGAAGATGTGTGCCAAGAAAACCTAATGCCTTAATGGGGGTGCAATTAAAAGGCAGTACACTGACATCTGGCTTTGAAAGCATTTATTAAACTTAGCTACTGTTCTCAAAGGAGGATGCAGTTTTGTTCAATCAGTGTAAGCATACTAACAGTATTTTAATATGAATGTGTTCTGCTTATTTTTTACTTTCTCTGAAGGAAAGAACTGAAATTCAAAAAACCCCCAAAACCTGCACATTAAAATGAACCATAAGTCTAAACAGACTTTTAGCTCCAATAGTTTCTCAGATGTTTTAGCTGAGGAAGCAACTATACAAGTGTGTTGGGATTTCTTTTTTTTTAAAGACAGCTCACAGAAAATAAATGCCAATTGAATCTCTTGCATATCTGCATATTCACCAGTCACCCAGACTGCCTGAATTCCTGCAGTAATAATTCATTTCAGATTTACAGATTACTTTGGTGTGTTTTACTAGCTGGATATACTGTGTATCCCCCAGTTTGTTCTCTGTAAAGAAATCAAAGGAATAAATTAATTGAGGGGAAAAAAGGGGCTGTTATGTTTTTTGGGTTTTTTTTTCCCCCCCTCCCACCTCCCAAAGCTAAATAATGAAATAAAATCTAATTCCAAACTCTAAACCATACTTTTTCCACTTTCTGTGATTTTCTCTAGAGGAGCGTATTTCTACTTCTGGCTAAAATAATTATCTACCTAGAAAATCAGTAAATGAAGTTCCCTTCCATAGGGGCCTGCCTATTTACAAGTTACTCAGTTGCTACTGCTGAGTTCTTGATGAGTTCACTATCTGGAAGTTGGCTGTTATAAAAACTAATTGATGGAGTTTTGATGGATTGTCTTTTCGAGGGCATGAATTTTTTTCTAATCTGAATCTGCAGAATACACAAGCTGGATAAATTCTCTTGAATTTTTATATGCTGTTGCAGACATGAAAATAATATTACTAGCATTTTGTTTACTGTTTTGCTAATGATGTTTGGATGTCTTCTGGAAGGATGGTGGTAAGTTTTTATTTTGCTTTCAAAATTTAAAACAAAGATGTAATGCTTGTATTCAGAAATAAACATCTATAATGTGGATTAAGATAATGATCCAGAATCTTTTGTTTTGACGTGTCTATTTAGAGATATATTTTATGTGAAATTAAATCAAGTATCATCTATATAATGGAGGAAAGAGTGTGGTGAAATTATAAACAAAAAAATGTGAGCAGCTTGGATATGAAGAATGCTATGAAATAAGGCAAGGGCAAATTATCATAGTCCTCCTTGTCTTAGTTTCTAGTCTGACAGGAGGATATTAACTGCTGATAAAATCAGAGTAGGAAACCAATGCTTCCATTAAAAAGTTATAATTTTGGATCTTGAAACAGACCTTACTTTTCTCTCTCTTTTTCCAGCATCAGGAAAATGATCCATATCTCATTTGCTTGAGAACCATTAGTCACCATTCTAGAGATATGGCTAATTACTTTTAATTAAAAGTAATATTTTGATACAGCTCTGCTGTCTCTGCTGGGAATTGTTTTAAACTTACGATGTTCTTACCACCAATTTTCTGCAATACGGCTTAGGAGGAATTTGTGCTGCACTGTTCGATAGCAACAGGTCTGAAGAGTATCAAGGATGAAATTCTCAAGGGTCTTTATGTCATGGATGGAAATGGAATCATTACTGTATTTTTGAACTCCTGCTAACGTCATTGACACCCACCTACAGTCCACTAGAAATATAAGTGCAGAGATCAGTTTGTTCGCGGATTACAAGCAGACCAACCAAGAAGGGGCAAGCCAGATCCAAAGTCACTGGTAAGCTTTATTTTAAAGGGAGAATTTTTTTCCTCCCCTTGGGTCAAGTTGTGAAATGTGTCCCTAGTATTTTATACCAGGCTGTCTTGTGATTGCACTTACTAATATATGTAATACAACTTCATTTAATGCAATTTTAAAAACTGAGCTATCTGCATCTTGAGCCATATTTTTGCATTCTTCTTGAACCACACAGTTCTGATGCTGTAGCTAATCAGCCACTGAAAATGGCTCTAATAACAAATGTAAATTTACAAATGTAGTATTTTGTGTTAAATGTTCTACTAGTCCCTCAAAAGAGAATCCAGTGTCTAAAAATAGTTTTGGTATGGGAGACGCTTCCTGAGAATAATTTGTTCTTCCTAATCCCTTAGTACTAGAAGACCAAAAAAAAACTAGTATTTTTTTTACATGGACATAATCTGCAGTAGGCAGTTTTCCTTGGTTTAGTGTGGTTGATTTACATGTTACTAGTGACAGCTCTGTAGGACTTAAGGAGCATGGATGTTTGTCCTTCTTACAGACTGTTCATCTCCAACATGTGGAAAGTGGTGCTCCTGGGTCTATACATAGTATTGGCTGTGAGAGGATTGGCAAAGGGTGCTCCTTTCCAACCAGAAGAAAAATGGAAACCTCTAGATAACCCGAGAAACAGAGACCTGGTAAGGAAGTGCTTCAAGAAAGAGAGATAAACTATTATGTGGGGTTTTTTTTATTTTCCATCAAGAGACTTTTTATCTTCTAAGTTTAAAGGTAATAGGGGTCCATTAGATGAAATGTTAGCAACTGTGCACTTTCTATTGTCAATAACCATTTTTCAGTCATTTCTCAGCCCCTTAACTGAGGAGGCATTCTCAGTGTACAGCAGTGCATAAAGCTTCCTTGTAAGGCAGCTATAACTAAAACTCCTTACAGCAGTTTTAGTTTTTAAAAATGTATTTTGATTATACAACTACTAGTTTCCTGAAACAGAAGAGGAATGATTACTATGTTTCTTTCAGATGCGTACTCTGATTGCATGTTGTTTCGTTGAATGGAAGTACAAATCCATTTGCATCCAGCATGTCATGAACAGTGGCTAAAGATCTGAAGGTGAATTATAGCCAAGAAAATACCATTATGGGAACACTGGCACAGTCTTAAAAAGAATTTATGAAGGAGAAAAAAAACAGTTACCCGTAGTTTTTCCTCACTATTTTAAGAATCATCAGTTTCTACTTTTAACTGTTTGTGAGGGTACAGTTCAAATCAATTGCCCACTGTTGCTGACTCCCAGAGAAATGTTTAACAGAACTGTCCTGTTTGCTCTCAGGCTGTGGCTGTTTTATGATGGGATACAGTCTGAATCCCCAGTGATTCGGTGGGAGTATAAGTGAGCAGTAAACATGGGAGTCTTTTGACTTAACATAAGATGTAGAAGCCATGGATGGAGTGAACATTTCTGAATTATGTTGCCTATACTGTATGTATTATATCAAAATAGATGTACTATATTTATTATGATCAAAATAGAGAGGATTTCATTCCACAGAGGAACAAATATTACATCTTATTACAAATATTACATCTAATTTGTGTCAGTAGAAATGATTAATCTCCATCGGTCATGCTCTGCTTTATTTCACATGTGCAATATGTTCAGTTTTTCAGAACGCTCCAGGCTTATTTTTCGGGCAGGGGGCTCGATCTCAGGAAGTTCCCAGCTGCTGTCACTGTGAATGATGAAGGACCAAGGCCTCTCATGTTCTATGCAGATCCGATTGCTTCTGCATTTGCAGATTACGAAGAAAGGAAAAATTCTTTTCCCAATTATTTCAAAGGCTGAAAGATGCTGTTGACCAAGGTAAAAGAGGAGGCCTTTCCTCTGATGTTGTTACATGTAACCAAGAGAAAGATTTGGATTCAAGTGATTTTTGCATCTGACTGAAGTGTAAAAGCAACTACTTTTTTAGAGGGAACTAAAAATGTAGTTCCTTAACTCTTGCTGAAATGATTTTAAACTTCTTGAGGTAGAGATTTATGAGGTATTTACTAATTAGATAAAATAACACATGGTTCTTGTGCACACCTGTATAGTCCATGCTTTTTATTTCCTCTTTTTTTCTCCCCTCTTTCATGTGGAAAACCATTTTGAAAATGTACAGGTAATAGGGAATGAAGATTTCATGTAAGTAATTGATACCAGTAAATTTAAAGTTGAGACTAATGGTTTCTTGTGATATATGTATATTAAGAAAATTAATTTAGACAAAAGATATTGCACTAACAAAGCATACATTATTTATCTTGGTCCATTGCTGCTGTTTTCCTTATTTCTATGACTAAAATTGAAGGTTGATAGAAGGATTGCAACTTATGCACATCTTATGCATAAACAAAATTGTAGTGGGTTAAACTTGCATTAATAATAAATCCAGCCTCGATTTATAGGAGGTACTTCTCAGCTATTTTATGTATGAATAACCATACTCGGTAACAAATAAATCCTTTTTAGTATCACCTTTGAAAGTGAATATTGGTAATTCTGAGGAAAGGTAATTCATTGTTTTCTTCTGATAAATAGTTGAGGATTTCAGTAAGGTTTAAATCTAAGCACTTTGGTGATGTACTCAGTATCTTAAAGAACTTAATTTTGTGATCAATACTAAGCCTGTGATTTCCATCTCTGTCCTGCTCTCTGCCTGCTTAACCACATTGCTCTTTGTAATCAACAGTGAAGCTCCTCTACTCGTACTGTCATGAATCAGAATGAAGACTGCACTCAGATTTTAATACTAAGTTCTCTTTTTGCTGAGCTTTTATGTCTGGGGGTGGGGGAGGGGGAAAAGCACCACGGACTGAATATTGTGCATGAAAAATAAATGAAAAGGGACTTTAGAAAGGATGCTGTAGCTCTACTGTAAGTCACAGCAGCAATGAGAAAGTGACTGGTGGAAGTAATTTGTCCTGCATAATTCAGGATGGTCACGGCAGTTCTTTTCCGTGTTCAGAACTGTTTTCTGGAAGCTGAGGTCTGCTGTGCTCAGTTGGGCTGTTTCAGCCAGTGTTACCAGGTCTTAGTTTGGATCAGATCTTGGTTGCATATAGATATTTCTGTATTTGTCTCACTTTTTTTTTCTTTTTTTTTTTTTTTCTTTTACAGGCTGTAGAACTTCACGCGAAGTGATAACCTTCACAAATTTTACTGCTTTGACTTTTTAACTGTTACTTGACAATTTAAAATGTTCTTCACCGTCACAGTTCCTACCTGTGGAATGTGATGTCATGCTGTAATTAGCAAATATTCGGTCTCTTGACAAATGTGTGCTGTTTGGCTGCTGCAGAATTGTGTTTGAGCATCAATAAACGAGGAGTGTAACAGAGCACTTTTGATTACTGCTGAGAGTCTTTGTGCAGAACTGGGAAATAAATGGTAGTTTTCAATTTATTAGAACTAGATGTCATAAGGTGTTTTGTGGCGATTTTTCAGATACACCTTTGCTGAAAGCCCGTTCGTTTCTCGGGTGGCTGAAGGGAACACTGGCCTGGGGTTGCTTGTGCCTCCCCCCCAGCCCCGCACACCCATTTCTGACCCTGCCCCAGCCGATAAGTCACCTGCACGATCACTGCATCTTCACATGGAGTTACAAAACCCCTTCTCGTGTAAAACGGTCCCGCATTTCGGAACAAATAACCTGCCACCCGCACTGAGGTCGGTGACAGAGGACTTGCCCTCACCTTCCTGAGCTCAGGGCCCGCTCCCTCCCAGGCAGCGAGCGCAGCAGCGGCACCGCCCAGAGCCTCCCAGGAGCGGAGCCCCCTCGGCTCCCGGAGCCCCCCGGGATCGGGAGCATCCCGGGATCGAGAGTCCCTCAGGATCGGGAGCACCCCGGGATCGGGAGTCCCTCCAGCGGCCCCCGGCCCTGGCGCCGCCCGGAACTGCAGCGTGAGGGTGCGGGCTGCGGCGGGCGCTGTAGCGGGCGGGACGCGGTGCCTCCTGCGCAGCGTTCCCCCGTGCGGGTCGAGGCGGGGCCATGTCGGGCTTCAGCCCGGAGCTGATCGAGTACCTGGAGGGGAAGATCTCCTTCGAGGAGTTCGAGCAGCGCCGGGAGGAGCGCAAGAGCCGCGAGAAGGTCAGTCTGCCCCGCCTGGCCGCGCTGCGGGCCCTGCCGGGGGGGGTCGGGGCGCCGGCCCCGGCACGGCTTGGGCAGCACCGCCCGGCCCCGCGGCTCGTCGGAGCACTGAGCAGAAGGAGGTTGGGATATAAAATGATCCAGGGTAGGCTGCTGCAGCTCCCCCACCATCTCCTGTGTGAAGTCTAAGGCAGAGATGCAGTTTGGCTCCTCGTTTAGCTTCTTGGCAGCAACACATGCAGGGAGGCACAGCTTTGTGTCTAAAAGTAAGCAGACGGTGGTATCAAGAGAAGATCTGTATGATTTATGGGACTGTTGCAGTTCACTGTAACTTCTCCATCTTTATGTTGAAATGTATCTGAATTTCTGCATTTCAAGAGCAAATTCAGCAGAACTCACCTGTGTTATCCTAGGGTAACATTCTTACCATGTTAACAAACGCTATTTTGATGTATTTCATTTTGTGGAAGGATTTGTCACAGATTTCTAACTTTCTTTCTTTCTTTCTTTATTTCTTTCTTTATTTATTTATATAGTCAACCATGTCACCTTACCTCACTGTAATGCCAGATAAGCAGTGGATAGTCTCTTCAGTCAAAAGTAATGTGATCAGTCACCGTCTAATTAATCTAACATTGATAAGAGCATAAATGTCTTGAAAGCAAGTAGTGCTGGGTTTTGTTCACTTAAAAATACAGCACTTATTCCACCTGTTTCACTAGCAGTGCATGGAAAACTCTGGTCTAAATGATAATTGTAAATATTAGGGGAAATAAGAATAGGTCATGTGATAAAGCTGATAACTAATGTTGTTGGTGTGTGTAGGATGGCGGAAATGCGTCTGCTGAGGAAAATGACGAGGATGTGGAGGGTCCATCTTCATCCAAAAAAGCATCTTCGAAATCCCAAAATCAGGATGAAGCTGATGGTATGTGTTAATGTAATAATTTTTGTTTAAAAAAATCATTGAAAGCATTTGTCTTCAGTAACTGACTTTTTATAAAACCTGGCTCCATTTTTCCCCTTCTGACTTCTTAACCATATGGTCTCAATTAATCACTCTCTCTAAAGTTACAAATAAATTGAACTTCTTAGCTGATCTCAGTAAGTCTTTTCTGTTTTGTGTTGGCTTTTTTTTTGTGTTCCTATCTTTGCTAGTCTTCTGCTGAGATTTGACTTTTTCCAGAGTATTCTGTGTGATGAGTGGTGCCTTCTTCCGTTGTCAACCAAAGTGAAATAAAATAGCTGTAAATGAGGAGTTTATTTTCATTTCTCTTTCTTTAGGGTTCTTTTTTTCTCTTTTGCTCAGTTATGCTTTGGCCTGTTTGGAGTGCCAATGATTATTTCTGACTATTCCTAGCTACAGATTCATGTCTCTGAAATACTTCCCAGCTGCTCTGTTCTGCTCTGTATTCTACCTCTTTATTCCCATGGTTTTTTTTAATGCACATCATCTTTATCTAAGAAAAAGATATCCTGATGGGTTTGTGTGATAGTGTTACTTCTGCTCTTACTACACAGAGCACAGAAGTGTCAAGAGCAGATAGAATCAAGGAAGCATTGATAATATTTATCACTATTTAAAGAGTTGGTATTAGAACCACACCTAAGATATTCAGAAGAATAAAAAATGTTAGATAAAAGAATGTTAGATGAGGTGATTGTTAAAGTCACTTTTGATACACAGATCTTCAGATGTAATCTACTGCAATCTTAAGATGATTCCTGCAGCCAAGGATACTGAAATAAAAGGGAAATTAAATTAATAATTGGGGGGGGGGGTTCAGATGGAGGGGGGAGGGAGAAAAGTCTTGATTTTTAGATACTTGATATCCAAGTCAGAATAAAAATAACCAAACATATCCAAATCAGAAAAAAAAAAAGAAGAAAACAACCATAAACTCAGGTGTAGTCCCCAGTTCCCTCCTCTGTATAGGCAATACATGATAGATTTGTTTTTCAGTCCCAACTTGATACTGTGATTATTCTTTCATCAAATCTTTAGGTGCCCAGTCCCCCAGCTGAAGCGTTTGAACCCCACATATTTGGATGTTTTGCATGTAGATCTGTGGTCAGTTACAACCCTGGGTTAACTTAGTAATGAGAAATTGTAAATAGAAAATGTCAGAATTTTAAAAATTGTATGCTTTAAGCATATTTATTTGGATTATATTGCATCATTTTCTTACTTATTTTAAGAATTCTGCTATTTTTCTAGAGAAATGTGAATAATCTGGATTGTACATTAACACGTATTAAAAGGTACTTATTGTCATGGATGGAATGGTCACAAGATCTTGTTTTAAATCACTTCTGAAAATTGGTTGCTGCATTTTTGTGTAGTGGAATTGTCTTGTTCATTTATAGCCTCTTCAGCTGAAAAGCTTTATTCCAGCCAGCCATCTAGGTACTTGAAAATTAATATGCTTCTCTTGGATGGATTGACAAAAATGTCGAATAAACTGTTGCTTCATTCTTTGTGCTTTCATTTCAAATATCCAAAAAATGTTAGAGACTGGGGTATACTGAGCATTGCTAATGAATATTGCAGAGTTTTAAAACCACAGAGGCTGTTATTAGTTTTCCTGCAGTTCTGCAGGCAGGGTTCTTATAGAATAGCTGCTTCAAGTGGGCTGCTGTTTTCTCTGCACTTGTCCTGATAAGCAGCTTGTACTCCTGATTACATCATAAACCTTCCTTGCTTCTTCCTCAACCAGGAGAAACATCAGATGGTGTCAGTAAATCTGTTCATCGGGTCTTTGCATCCATGATTGGGGAAAATGAAGAGGAGGAGGAAGAGGAAGAGGAAGAAGAAGAGGAAGAAGAGGAGCAAACTACTGAGCAACCAACGGCTGGAGATGTTTTTGTTTTGGAGATGGTACTTAATCGAGAGACCAAGAAAATGATGAAAGCAAGTATTTAAAGTTTCATGTAACCCCCCTGTATCTCCTGACCATGCTGCATAAATGGCAGTTTTGTGTAATTTTAGCTACTTGCTAGGAAATTTGCCTGGAAGTAGTTCCACATAGAATACCTCTGCTTATGCTGGTGTTTGTTATGCTTTGTTTTTAAAAAAAAACTACTGTAGATTCCTGTTTGAAAACTTTAAAAAATCATGAAACCAGTTTTTCCAGTGTCAGAATTCCAGTGTTTACAGCAGGTGTCAGAGTTACTCTGTCAGCTCTGAAAATAAGCAGATCTTTTGGTCAGTCACTTAATATCACTAGTACCTAAATAACTTGTTATTAGGTTTTGTTAAGCACAAGTGTGACTGATGTCTCCTGAGTTTGAGCATAGCTTAAGTAATATCCCTTTTCCATTTAGGAGAAGAGACCTCGCAGCAAACTCCCTCGTGCCTTGAGGGGTCTGATGGGAGAGGCCAACATCAGGTTTGCTCGAGGAGAGCGCGAGGAGGCCATTCTGATGTGCATGGAGATCATTCGGCAAGGTGTGTCAGACTGGTAAACTGGTGGGCTCTGAGGGTGGGCTGAAATCTCCATGTGCATGAGGGAATTCAGTGGGGCTTCTCTGAAGATGAAAATAATTGGTATAAGGACAGTCAGTGTGTAAGTAGTATGGAATTAAGAATATGAGGTGCATTTTCTTGTTTTGCTTGTGAAAAGAAACCAGCACCCTGGTTCTGTAGAGGCCTAGACCTTTGATTAGCTTTACACTTTGCTTTTATTGTCTTTGTAGATGCAGGGATAAACATCAGCATGACTTAGTGTAGAATAATTCTGTAAATGGTGGTTGTTAGATTCAGTCAGACTGTTTAATAATTTATAGAAAAGAATCAGAAACTTGTCTGCAAGTGTTTCCTGAATTTAAACAGACCAGTGTGGATGTTTCATGTAATTCTCATATCTGTTGTTTGCAGAAAGGGGAGTTATTTTTCTCCAAGATGGTTTTAAAACAATAGGTCTTAATTCTTCTCTGTCTTTTCACAGCTCCTCTTGCTCATGAGCCGTTTTCCACTCTCGCCATGATCTATGAAGACCAGGGTGATATGGAGAAGTCACTACAGTTTGAACTGATTGCAGCTCACTTAAATCCTAGTGATACGGAGGAGTGGGTTAGACTGGCAGAAATGTCACTGGAACAGGACAATATTAAACAGGCTGTTTTTTGCTACACAAAAGGTATTGTAGCAACAGTTTCAATAGTTTTAAACTTAATGCAAGATGCTAATGGCAGTTATTTTCTTCTGCTTTCTAATTTAGTTTGCTTCAGTGTGCTAAGACTCTGGTGCCTCTGTCCGACTTTGGTAAAAGATTAGCAAAGCTGTAATACAGAATGTCCTTTTTTTACAAAAACCTCATCCGTGTCTATTTCATCAGGGAAATGAAGGTGAAATCCATTGTTGCCTTTTCCTAAACTAGGCTACTGTTATGCTGCTGTTTCTTCCTGTAGCTCTGAAATACGACCCCACCAACGTGCGTTACCTGTGGGAGAGATCCAGCCTGTACGAGCAGCTGGGGGAACACAAGATGGCCATGGACGGCTACAGGCGCATTTTGAATCTCCTGTCTCCCTCTGATGGGGAACGATTCATGCAGCTGGCTAGAGACATGGCAAAGTGAGTTGCATTTACAAATGCTGGGATCTGGTTTTCCAGGGTTTCTCAAAAGCTGGTATTGATAAGCTCCGCAGCTGATTCGAGCTTAGAAGCGTTGCATTCTCTTAGAGTAAGAGAATAAAATGCAAATACTGATTACCAGATAAATGCCAATAGTGTACAATTATATACAAATGCAGTAGATTTGAATCTAGATAAAAACACTAGAGACCTGGAAACTTATTGCCAGCAAATTTGAATGAAGCAAACTATTCAGTCTGAAATACAAACCATCTGCAACAGAACATAGTTTATGTGTCGTTTGTGATTTGTTTCTGGAGCAAGTAGGAATGTGTCCTCTCCCTTTTTCTAATAACGAGAGCTGAGCAAGTCATAGAAGCGTGCCTGAGACAGAGAAAGCTTGTGGTTAAAGTGTGTGGCACTCTTAGAGTAGTTTTTACTAAGTTATGTTCTGCTTTGTATCTCAGCTTCCTCATGCATAACTTGTAGAAAGCCAGTTATTGGCCTGTTTCAAAACAGTTTAGGTCTTTTGATCTTCATGGTTGTGAAATGCACCAAAAAATGCAAGGACGTGTGTTATAAGAATATTATTGAAGGTTTTTTCTGAAACCAGGTTAATGTGGTACATCATTAATGTAATCAATACATCAGTTGATGTTTTCGAGGTGGGAGAGATTGTGTTGAAAAGTCCTGTAATGTCATAATATATACAGGAGAAAAAAATGGCAATTATTTGAAATAACTAAAAATTCTCAAGAGTTGTAAGGAAAGGAAAAACGCTTTCTCACTCTTTTTAACTTATTCTTGCTAATGAATATATTGTCTAACAGGCAAAAATAAAAGAGGTGTGAAAATCCTTTTGCTGCTGTTCAAAGTACAAATTGTCAGTTATATCACATACTTACTATCTCATCTCTGTGTTTTATAGGAGTTATTATGAAGCCAATGATGTGACCTCTGCTATTGAGATAGTGGAAGAGGCCTTTACTAAACACCAGAGCCTTGTCTCCATGGAAGATGTCAACATTGCAGCTGAACTGTACATTTCCTCCAAGCAGTACGACAAAGCTTTGGCGGTATGGACAGTTAAATGCATTTGTGTGTCACCTTCAGCACCTCTTTGCCAGTCAGAACAGACAGTTTGTGTTCCTGAAGTGCTTAAATAGGGTCATGTTTCTATAATTATAGGGCTGATTGGTTACAGATTGCTTACTTTTAGTTCTCTAGTAATTAGCATTTAAGCTAATGGCTTGATTTAATAAGTTGGAGGCTAATAGATTTGTGTGTTGCTCGAGGTTTAAAATTTTGGGAGCCTTCTTCTCCTTCTCTGTAGTGGCCATAATCTTAGTAGCCAGAGAAGACCTTCAAGCTGGTTTTGTGTGTAATACCAGCAAAGCTCATTCTCTCAAATGGAAGGTTAAAAGGGTGGTCTGATGGTTCAAATGCAGACTGTTGTGCTTTATCTGACGTACTTGTGTTACGACTAATAATTTATGCATTAAGCACCAAACATACACTCCAGAAAGACAATGCATCCTGACTCTAAGGCATCAGGAATTGGAGAAGATTGCTTATCTGTTCTAAATTTGTTCTAACATTTTTTAACCCTCACATTTGAGGCATATTTCCAACTTGATTTGGTCTGGCTTTGAGAGGAAAGACTGTAGTATCTGCCGTTCCAAGATAGAATGAGGAGACTCTATTAGTTGGGACTTTTTTCTAGTGATCATTCTTATTTGTTCCTATAAATCTTATATTAAATTACCTTGTAATTTTTTCCTCCTTAAGATTTTATGTAGCTTACTCTTTGTCAGTGAAAAGCTTGAATAGTCTGTCTTTGGTTTCTATTTTTTCTAATTAGTTGTTCTGTTGAATTATACTAGTGTTATTGAGTTTTATTTATGTGTCTGACCAGGGTTGTTTTAAAATACCTGTATGCAGCTGTAAATTTTATTTAATTCTTTATTTTAAGTGAAACAAAACCATATGGTTTCCTTGCAATGTATTAAGCTGAGAAATCCTTGGAGCACTTGGGAAAGATCTGTGGAGAGCTTAGCTGTTTACTGGAGCTTGGCTTTCTTTTTCAATCTTCCAAAAAATCATTAAAAAAAAATCTATAAAGGTTAAACACTTTTCTAGTTGTGATGAAAGTAACTGTTGTATTTGCAAAAGAGCTGCTGATTAGATCATTTGAGTAGTTAAAAAATAGTGAACAAAGGCATATCATGATCAAACTAAATGCTAGTCAACTAACCCCATATGAAATGAATGCAGCTTTTCTTCTGATAACTTTTGTTGTCTAAAACAGCTACCATGTAGGCTGGTTACTGCATTTGTTCTTTAAATCTTTAAAATGATCCAAGTTATTTATCTGTTTTAGGTTATTACAGATTTTACAGGTATTGTACTCGAAAAAAAAGTACTAGAAAAAGGTCCAACTGAGGAGAAGAAGGGTGAGTAGCTATCAAGTGGTTGGTATGACCCTGCTGTCCTCATGTGACATCTTTCCATACCTTTTCAACTCATGGGTATATTTTGATGCATGTTGACAAGCTTTTCTCTTTTAAAATTTGTGAGTGCTCTTATAGAATTACATGGCATGACCTCAGCTTTCTGTAAGAAGTCACTCTGGTGTCCAGTTAGCCCCACTACTCATTGAAGACAAGGACTGCTCTCCAGGCAACTGGAAGCCTTTTATAGTTCTAAACATTCCTCTGAGTGTTTACATCAGACCAGTTATTACTGCCATCTAAATAGCTTCTGTAGAAAGAAGAAAGATAAGTTTAGTGGCATCTGTACTCAAGAATATCAACCTTTGACTGAGATTAATATTCTCCATAAACTCTGCTTCTGTTATGAAGGTTTACAATCCTTTATATGGCTTTTTGCTTTGATGAACCAGGTAAAAGTACACTTGATTTATGAACAACTTTCCTGATGGAGACTTTTAACAGATAATTCATAACAAACAAAACTATGATGAGTTGGAATTAGATCAGTGTTTGCAAGTTACCTGGTGTGTATAACAATTGCTTAAGACAAAGCTTCTAAACTGCCCAAGAGCTTGGTTCTCCACCTTCTTTTGCTTTGTAATTTCTTTAACTTTTTGATCGCTTCTTGTTCTGCTGTCCTTAAAAAGCCACAAAAACAAACAAAGAAAAAGACCCCTCAAAACAAAACAAACAAACAAAAATAACCTCCCAAACTAAAACAAAAAAACAATCCACTTTTCAGAGTAAGCTACCAACTGATTATGGATTCACAAGCAAGTAACTTCTGGCTTAGTTGGGGCTACTGGTTAATCTGCTAATCTTTTAAAAAAGATCCAGGTGCAGTGGTAGAAACTCAGGAAGGCCAGGAGGCATTGACTGATGACCAGAGTCATCCAGATGCTGAATCCAGTGCTTCAGGTAAGTAATCTATTTTTTTAATTTTGTACAAGTCTGTGAACTGATCATGTGCTCAGGAATCAGCTTGCAGTCCTATTGGGAGATTTTTAACAGCACAGAAATAGGGCTTTACCCTGAAAAGGTTTCTTTTGTACTGTCTTCCTTATTCAGAACTTCCTTCTAACCCAGCCAGCCACCAAAGCCAAAAGCATTCCAGGGCTTGCTTGCTTAGAAAACAAAATTTTTGATTTTGTAAGAATTTACCAGTAGGTGAGTAGTTGTTCTTGTGCTGGGTATTACAATGTTCAGAGAATGATGAACTAATCTGCTTGTGATTTGCAGTAATGGGATGTGGATGTAGGAGGTGACAGGGAAACCTTATGTTGGAAATCGCAGTTTTCTCAGGTTATGGCAATCGCCCTTTGAATGTCTGGTGTAAGCATTGTGGTGAAGGAGAACTTAAACAGGCTTGTTGAGGAGGTGTCATGACTGCATGTGAAGGGCATAAGATCATGGAGTTTTACTGTGTGACCTTTAATTTTACTGTGTGGCCAGCATTGCCATGGGTAACTACCTTGCCTCGTGTCTGCATTCTCATCAGATTGTGTTCCCTCTACATGTGGTGTGAAGTTCTGTAGTTAGCCGTGTTTAACAATGTGTTCAGCCTGATTCCTGGGACACAGGACTTAACTTAGAACAAATACCTTAATGCAGGGTATTTCCTTCAAAAAACAAGGAGGAGAGGGTACAGGTGCATAAATTGCTGAAGGAAAGCTTTATTAAGCAGCACATCTTAAATAGGCAAAGGCTCTAAACACATTCTGTGGAATCCCTCTCTTGAAATCAACAGCACTTGATACTTCACATGGAATTATTAGGATAAGAGGCAGTAGAGAGAAGTTGTTCCAACTTTGGAGAAAGATATAAAAGGAGAGGAGAGGCCAGGCAAGAGTATTTTCTTCAAGGGAACTGAATGTGGCCTGCAGGGGATGTGCAGCTTGTGAAGTGCTTGTTAAAGCTTATGGATTCAGAAAGAAATTTTTTATCTTGTCACAGCTGTGGAGAAGGTCAGCTGCTGCATACCTGAGGGCGTTCCCATAGACATCACAGTCAAACTGATGGTGTGCTTGGTTCACTTGAACATCCTAGAGCCACTCAGTGTAAGTAGAAACCAACTCAGAAGATGGGGAATGTTCTAAGAAATTACCGAGGCAAATAATTGTTCCTGTTCTCATACGACAGAGGTTGTCGAGGGAGCTGCAGAGATTCTTTTTGCTTCTCTCCCACTCCAGGAGAGAAAACTGACAGACCCATAATAGCAGAAATACTATCTTTGTCCTTAAAAATTGTGCCTCCAATGGAAGTATTACTAAAGCACAGTTAAGTCACACTCTGTTTGCTGTGACAGGCCCAGGACCACATTGCAAAGTTGTTGAACACTTTTTTACTTTGTTTCACAGCAGTACTAAATCTGAAGACTCTTCTTCCATAAAGGACACTCCTTACTGATGAACACTTTAAACCACTAGATATGTGAAATGTCTAGAATAGAAAAAAGTGGCTTTTTCAGGAATTCTGAAATGCAGATCTTTCATTTTTCACTTTAAAAAGAAATATAGATAAAGGAAGTGTAGTTCAGAATATAAATAGAATAAAAATCATAGCATAAAAATGGAAGCTTCCAATAACCATATCTTAAAGAAATGTTCTTATCGGTTGTTTGTGCTTTTAGTATTTTGTGGTGTTTCTTTTTCTAAAGCCTCTTTTGACCACACTGGTGGAACAAAATCCAGAAGAAATGGGTGACTTATATTTGGATGTGGCGGAGGCATTTCTGGATGTTGGAGAATACAACTCAGCACTGCCTCTCCTGAGCTCCCTGGTCTGTTCAGAGCGATACAACCTGGCTGTTGTCTGGCTTCGGCATGCAGGTGAGAAAAAGCAGGATTGCTGAGCACATGGTGCTGAGAGATGATAATTCAATGCTGAGCATTTCCAGGGACTTTTATCGAAGATCACAGGAATTTTAGATTCACTGGTTGAATGATAATTGGTATTTGCAGAACCATAGTTGAAATTTATTATGACAACTCTGTCGGGAGCATTTTCTTGTTCTTCACATACACTGAAATTTACCTCAGCTAAAAATACGTCATGTAAGTTTAGCAGCATCTCTTTCCCTCCTTTGTCATGTGATGATGTTTTAAGGAAAACTATGCATGCATCAGTACATATTTCTGAATACTTTCACTTAATAATACACTTAATAAATTCACTTAATAATTCAGTTAATAAAACCGCTTGGGTGGTTTTACTAAAAAGGTATTTGAAAAGCACGTTAACTATTTTGCATACTTTGAAATCATCTTTTTTCTTCCACTTAAGTGTTTTGTGTTGTTGATGGTATTTCTAGAGTGCTTGAAGGCTTTGGGACACATGGAGCGTGCCGCTGAGAGTTATGCCAAAGTTGTTGATCTTGCTCCATTGCATCTGGATGCAAGAATCTCACTTTCAACACTTCAGCAGCAGCTGGGCCGACCTGAGAAAGCTCTGGAGGCTCTGGAACCAATGTATGATCCAGATACACTGGCTCAGGATGCTAATGCTGCTCAGCAGGTGGGTAAAGTGTTCTGTGCCTGCAGTTGAGAATGTATTGCTCTGCCAGACTGGGGTAGTGGTTGGAGATGTCAACTGCATAGGACCAGGGATTGAGACTTACTTATCTCACCGTGGTGAGCCTTCAGAGCACAGCGAGGGATTCATTACAGTGTCAGGACATCCTCATGGCTCTTTCTCCCTGACCATTTTATCGGTATTTCTCCCTGTCCCACTTGATTACTTTTGTGTGAGGTACAAGCTCTTGGCCACCAAGACCCAGTTGTGACACCAGTCACTTTGCATCAAGTTGATCAGCAGTTGCTGTGTATGAGCTGCATGGTTTGGCCTCTGTTGATTGTAAGCAGAGGTTCTGTATCCCCTCGCCAGCAGCACCTCCACCATAGGTAAGAGTCATGCCAAATTTCTGTGAAATGGGAGAATTTGAAACAGTGACTACTGCAAGGCAGTTCAGGGAGAGAATACCTGCTGCAGCAGATTCATGCAGCTTTCTGCAAGCTTTTACAATACTGTTAGTACTGTATTCAGTCAAAATTGTTTGTTTTATTAACTCACCCTCTGTGCAAGATGTTGAATAATAATGTTCAATATTGTCTAGGAATTGAAGCTGCTCCTCCATCGTTCGACACTGTTGTATTCCCAAGGCAAAATGTATGGTTATGTAGACACCTTACTCACAATGCTGTCAATGCTCTTGAAGGTAAGCCAGTCTTTCCAGCTACACTGTAAGAAATTAGACAGCTATTAGTTGGGTCAAGAAAAGCAACAAATGAGCTCAGGGAGAAAGCTAGTAGTTTTTTATACGCAAATGGTTTCGTAATTTTGTTATGTAATAATCTTGCAGGGATCCTGCAGTATTGGTGTTCCTGCCTGTAGTGTTCAGAACAGAGGACTGTTTGTGTGTATAATTATTGATACAGTGACTTCAGCTTCCCGTTCTCAGTGTACATACAACACACTGAATGCTAAAACTGTTTCTTACCTTTCTGGCAGACAGCATAGAGCTTTCTTGAAGCGTTGGTACCACTTCTGTTTCAACAATTTTCTTCCTTATTTCCCTTTTTTTTTTTTCTTGTGACAAATGACAAAATAAGAATTTGTTTAACCAGTAAATACAGTGGTGGTTTGTGTTAATTGTTGTTTTGTTTATTTTTAAGTAGGGAGTGAAGGAGGGGAATATTTAGACCTCAGTTTTATCCATCTGGTCATTGCCATTACTGTTGTATGATGCTGTATGGTTGAATAGCTGACATAAAGACAGTGTTCTTGTTATACCTCTCTGCAAATAGTTTTGATTTCAGTATATACAGGGATGCTCCAATCCCAGGAGAAATATTTTTAAAGAATTTAAAGAGTTTGTATCTTGCTCTTGCATAGCCCAGTTGGCACTGGAGCACGAGACAGTGCAGAGATAATATTCCTCTTGGGAATGTTCTCTCTCATGTTCTGGCTGTACTGCGGTGTTTCTAAGTTGCAGACTGTTTTGGCATGAGCAAGATGGATTGGCCATAAAGCTGCCTTTGTCATGGGATGTTATAATGTCATCTGAAATGCTGCCCTTAAATTTGTTTCTAGGTAGCAATGAGCAGAGCTCAGGTGTGTTTGATATCTAGTTCCAAATCTGGAGAGAGACACCTCTATCTTATTAAGGTGTCGAGGGATAAAATTTCTGACAATGATGACCAAGAGACAGCAAATTGCGATGCGAAAGGTAACAACTCACAGATTGTTTATTAAAAGCAAAGCCACGAGGTGAACTGCATAGTTCTGAGAAATGATACAAATGTTACTGTTTTGCATGCTAAATCCTAGCAGCCAGTGTTAACATTGCTTTATTTCTAGGGCAAAGAAGGCAGCAAAAATGAAGATAATATATCTTAAGGGAACAATCCCCATTCAGAGAAAAGTAGTAAGATTACAAAATAATTCAGATTAAGAAGGGCCTTTAGAGATCATTTGGGCCAACATTCTCCTCAATGCAAAAATAATGCACACAAATGTAGAACATACTAGAAATACGTTTTAAAAGTGGTGTGATTTTATTGACTGGCACATTCTTAAGAACTCTTTGGTAAATTAGGAAGAGTAACTTTATTGTGTTCATGTAGTATGTTTACAGCCTGAGCTGTGTGTAATGTTTGCTATTTGTTCCCACATTTTGAGGTTTTTTGCTGGTGTTTTACAAACTGCACTTGAACTGAGAAAAAGTAAATACTTTATATAGGCTGTTAATGCTGACAATGTCTTTGAAAAGATCAGTTTGATGTAAGAGTTTATCTTTCTTGTTCTAATTCTTCTCAACTTCCTGGCTCCAATATTTTTAGCAATTTTTGCTGTTCTGACAAGTGTTCTGACTAAAGATGACTGGTGGAACCTGCTCCTGAAGGCCATATATTCCTTGTGTGACCTCTCCCGGTACAAGGAGGCAGAACTACTAGTGGATTCCTCATTGGAATATTACTCATTTTATGATGATAGACAAAAGCGCAAGGAGCTGGAATACTTTGGGCTCTCTGCTGCAATTCTGGACAAGAACTTCAGAAAAGCTTACAATTATATCAGGTGAGCTACTGAGATGGTAGAGGAATCTCTTTTGTGGTTGCCCCCACTAAGGCTGTAGTCATACTGCTGACAGTACTGCTGAGGGAGGCAGGTTGATGCTCTTCAGCCTTTGCTGAGACAGGTAAGGCTATGGAAAATAAAGGAGCTTTCCAATAGCCTCTGATTCCAAAGAATACACAGTGCAGTAGTTTGGTTCTTTTGGGCAGAACCATTGACTCTGTCTTTCATCTTTGCCTCGGTCACTGACCTGCTCTTTGAGGGTCTCTTTGTTATCTTCCCTAAACTGTTGAGGTTTTACTCCAGAGGCAGCACCTACTGTATAGCATTTACTGATTTCTTGAATACTTTTCATTCTGTAGAATCATGGTTATGGAAAATGTCAATAAACCTCAGCTGTGGAACATCTTCAACCAAGTGACTATGCAGTCTCAGGATGTCCGTCACCATCGCTTTTGCCTCCGCCTGATGCTGAAAAATCCCGATAACCACGCGCTGTGTGTCCTCAACGGGCACAACGCCTTTGTATCTGGCAGTTTCAAGCATGCTCTTGGTAATGTCCCTCATGTTCTGATATCAACAAAAACAACAAGCAAAAGTTTATGACAGGAGAAAGATTTATCAAATTATTATTTTTTTTTTCATCAGAAAATTACAGGTTTACAGTGTTAGTCTGGTGCTTTAATTATTCCGCACCCAAATCAGCGCACTCACTGCTCAAGAGTTTTGCCAGTAAAAATTAGGCTGGCACGTTTCAAGTCTAGCACACATTGCAAATATAACTTGCAAAGATAATTGAAGGCTAATGATAGTTATAAGAAGGATAAAACCAGCCCAATTTAAACAGCAAATACAGCTGGTTGCACATTTTAAGCAAGCCTTTGAAGTAAACCTACTGCTTTTAGTCAAGCCCTCCAAATGTCACATTTAAGATGTGTGGCCTCCAGGATATCAATTCCAGCAAGGACCATGTTTGTCTCCTGTGTCTGATTGATTTCTGCTTCCGTTTCTGCATCGCAGTCTGCATTTTTCCTTCGGCATCCAAGGAGTGCTGAAAATATACAATTTTCTTTCATGGTTTTTTTCCTGTGTATTTTGATGTAGGTATATTAAACCATTTCTTTCCATAGTTCACACTTCTGATTCTCAAAGATTTTCTTTTTTGCCCTGAAATTCTTAAGGAATACTCTTCACAGCAAACATCTTGATTCAGTTATTTGCTTTTAGGACAGTACGTGCAAGCCTTTCGTTCAAACCCAGATGAACCTCTGTACAGTCTTTGTATTGGCTTGACCTTCATCCACATGGCCTCTCAGAAATACGTGCTGAAAAGACATGCTCTAATAGTACAGGTGAGTTAGTGTGATTATTTTTACCCATGGTGTGTTCTGCTTTGTATCTTGCAGGTGTTTATGGCTGTGACCTACTCTGTTTAAATAACTTTTCATAATTAACACAGCATTTCAAAAGAGGGAAGTGGTGAAACATGAACGCAGATGAATATGCTTTTGAACTGTAGTTGCACCCATCTGAATCTCCTCTCCTTATGGGAGACTCACATCTATGTTAGCAGCAGCCAGCTGTTTGAAAATATTACTGATTTCTTGATGGCTGTAATCTGGATTTTCTTTGAACTTTTTCTTGCCCTGCCTTGCTCTGAAGAAGTTCTGTAGAGTTCAGTCTATACCATGTGCCCTTTGTAGACATGTCTCATAAACTGCACTTTTGGGGCAAATTTTACAGACTTAGAAAGTGGTTTTTTCCCCCATTTTCATTTTCTTTTTCCCTTTTAGGTACCTCTTATAGCTCTTTTCATGAAGATCATGTGAGCTTCAGTTTAGGCTACCCTCAATTTTTCACCTTCCTCATACACATTTTTCTTTCATCTGCCAGAACCAGTTACAAACCACGGACTGAGTATTCCCAAACAGAATCTTGGAAGTAATTTCCACCAACTATTTTCATTAACTTGAAATGCCTTTTAATTCCTGTGGCTGCTGAGCTCAGAGTCAGCACAATATATGACGAGGATCCTGAGCTCTTGGACTTAGGAAATTCCTGAACACTGTTTTTTTTGACATAAGCTACAGGTCCTCAGTTACTCTAATATTAAACCAGTTATGACAATGGCCAACTTAAGACATTTCAAACTTACAAACTTTGGCCTAATTTTAACATTTTTATCCACTTTTTTTCTGTAATCAGCCTGCCTTTCTTAGATGTGCTACTCTGTTCTCCTTTTATAATGTACTTGAACGACGTCCTATTTATGTTACCCCCAGGCAATACAGTTCCTTACTCTCTCTTCTCATTTCTTGCTTACTATACTCGGTATTTTTACATCACTTCTTGTTGCTATTGTAGTTAATTAATAATTCAACCACAGTGACCCACTGGTGACCTAAATTATGATATTAGCTGCTTGTGTCTGAACTAATTCTTTATGTTGAAGGAGGTCTGATTACCAACATGGTCCCTAGAAAGAAGGTCCTTTATTTACAGCAGAATCGTCACATTCCAAAGTGATAACAAAACAAAATGCACGGGAGAGGATGAGAAGGTTGTGTGCTCAATTTCTCCTTTCTGAATTCACCTCATCTACTTGTCCCTTCTAAGTTTCCCCCAGGGCTCCTTCAGTGTCAAAGGAAGCACTGCATTTTAATGTCACATAATGCTGTTTGCCTCCCTGTCTTTGTTGTGTGTGAGAGGTGGCTCTGCTCTAATGGCACTCAGCTTTATAGTGTCTTACCAGCCCTGAGTCAGGATTGCCGTAACACACACCGAGCTTTAGGCAGTGACATCCTACAGATGAGAAACAAACTGCTCCTCTCACTTCACAGCATGTCAGTGTGTAAATGGGAGTGATTGTTCCACCAGTGCCTGGTCACTGTCCTTTTATGCACTGCCTTGTTTTACATCTTCTGGGACATCAGCACCGGAATAGGCACAGAGAAACTGTCGGGTCCTGCTCCTCTGAACCACAGCGTAGGAGAAGTGGGTGTTCAGAGTAAGGTTGGCAACAAATTATGTACTCTTGAGATTCTGCTACTGATATACCTTTAATATATGAGGGTATATTTTAATTTTAAACTAAAAGCAAAACAAGAAAGAAATAAGAAACACATGCAGAGTGCTTTGACTTTAAATATGCTAAAGCATAGCACTGAAATTGCTGGGTATGAGTTTCCTTTCAAATTCTTCTGGAGAGTTGGCAGTAAAACATCTGCTGGCTTCAGGAGGGTACATGAACTCTCTCCTATTGCTTAGGATATACTGATTTTTCATGGCCTTATTCAGTGATGTTTATTTTTGGTCGCTTTATAGATAATACTGATTTCCCTGATAACTGGTATTGGAGTAAACATTTACATGGAGCACAGGATCAGGAAAAGAATGTGCTTGCACTGCTGAAATAATACTTTGATAATACTTTTCATGGACTTCAGAATTTTGTGAAATTCTGAGAAGTTGTAGAATTAAACCATTTCCTGATGCTATCCAAGGCATTGAGTGAAGGAAGGTTTGGTTATGGCTTTTTTTCTCCATTAAAAAAAAAAAAGAAGGAAAGTATTATCTTTCAAAGTTGTTTTTTTTTTAAAGAAAAAAAGGTCTTGCTATAGCCTGTCCTTTGCCTGCATGTTTTCTAAGGTGATCAGCTCTTGTTTATATATTATATAAACACATACACACATACTTAGATGTTTAGCAAGCTACTTCCATAAGTCACTATACTAAATAACTGTGTGTTCAATTTATTAAAAAAGAGATCTACTCACTGTTATCAGTGGCAGTGAGACTGACAGAGCACGACAGGTTTTATGGTATCATCCATCAAATGTGACTCACCTTTTGCCTTCAACTTGCAAAGTGGTTTTCTGGGGAAGCAAAGATCAAAGGTTTAAATGAATACATTTAAACACCCGTTCTCCAGCGTATTTTACTGCCATCTTCTTAAATGGAACATTCACCAACGTGTGTAATATGTGTACAGGGATTCTCCTTCCTTCACCGCTACTTGGACCTGCGTGGTCCTTGTCAAGAGTCTTTCTACAACCTTGGCCGTGGCCTTCACCAGCTGGGATTACTGCACCTGGCAATCCACTACTACCAAAGAGCGCTTGAACTTCCTCCTCTCACCTTAGAGGTACTGTAACTTTGTAAGTTATGTACAGAGGTTAAAGTCAGGTTAAATGTCAAGAATTTCTTATAGTTAAAATAGATACATGAAGTCTGTGTACTCGGGTTTCCTTCAATTTGTATTGTGATTCCTTGCCATTGGAAGCCCAAATCTGATTGTCACCTTGTAATATATTTAAGCATGTTTTAACTTCAAAGATTTTTGAATTTTGAAGGATTTACTCGTAAGGTGAAGTGGCATCAAAAAGCGTTGCTAAACAACTTTACCTGAAGTAGCTGACCAGGAAGTTCTATATAATCATTCATGCTATAGAACAGCGTGGTGGAGCAAAATGAATCAGCATTCAGAATGCCTAAGTGCATCTGAGCCATGGTTTAGCTCTAACTGGTCTGTATTGGATCCCAAGTGACATGTCATACATTTACAAGTCTGGCCTGAGAGAAAGTTTTTGCCTAGCCTGGCATGGGTGGGTAGAAACATTACAAGTGTATTTAGAGAACAGGCAGAGTTGGTAAAGTAAGACCTGTGGCTGTTAGTCAGCCCTGGGAGTTCAAAGCAACAGTCTTGTGACCAGGTGAAAGGTACAGGCAGTATTCACATTCTGGTTGGAGGAACAAATGCTTTGCATACAAAGAGAAATGAAGATACTACTTTCCTGGTTTATGAGCTGGCTATCTAACTTACAGCTGATGTTTTGAATGTTTAATTTTGTAACTCTTTGGTGATCCACAACATGATGTGGAAACCTGTTGAAGAGGGAGGGCACAAGAAATACTTCTTTTGTTTCCATACAACTGAAAGCCTGTATTAACCACAAATACGTAATTTGATTCCACTGTAATTGCTCTCATATTTCAAGTATACTACCTATGTATATGGATAACTTTTTTTAATCATTACTTTTACAGGGAATAGAAACTGATCAGACAGACTTGAGAAGAGACACTGCCTTTAATTTGTCACTTATTTACCAGAGCAGTGGCAATACCAGAATGGCTCAGAAAATGTTGTACACCTACGCGGTTGTGTGACGAGGTTTGTGGCAGGTGGAGCTGATACCCTTTGTATTGACAACTATGCATTGCTGAGGAAACTGGGTTTATGTACAGCTTTTTCTGTAGATGGTCAGAGCCCTGGCTCATGCTGTGTATGTCTTTGTGGACTTTTTCTGCTTCTGACATGTGAACTGAATCGTGTGGATGGGAACTGTCCGTTCTGAGCAGAGCACTGACATGCTCAGCTGTCTTCTGCTTTGGTGCACTGCTCTCTAATCTGATATTCAGTCTTGTATATAGAATCAAACAGTGAAAACTGAGGCCCAGTGAGGTTTGCTGGGTTTTTTTCAGGGGGAAAATGTACAATGTGCAGTATTACAACTAATCACCAGTGAGGTTTTTGAAGAAGCCACATTCACTGGTGATGAAGGTTTTTTAATGTGCAGCATTAAATTACTATAATATAGGAGCAATGGGCTAATACTAATCCCTAGAGGATGAAGAACTCAGTATTTCAAGATCTTTAAATTATTCAGAATTTTCTAGGAGTTCATATTCCTAGCAGTTGTTCTATTTGAAAGGGATTGATTTTTGGTTTACTGAAATTAATGTGACCTTTGTTCTTTTGGACTTGTTAATAAAAATTGTGATGTTAATGATGCTTACTTATTCTCAGCAAACATATATCCTGCTGAATAGCATACGGCAAAAATAACATAGAGCTTATTATTTCACATTCACTGCAAATGATCTGGGGTTTTCCTTTTTCGTGACAGTTTAACAGTAGCAGAGAAGCCAGATGCAGTGCTTTATCATAAATTAAAGGAGTATATAGTTATATGTATGTACAGATATGGATATATGTTATGCCCTACAGCAAAAGAAGGCTTTGCTGAATAGAAGACAAACTGTGCTATTGCCTACCAGGCACTCATGTTACATAAAATATCACAGCTACCTGGTATTTGCTTTCAGCCCACTTTTACCCATATTTGTGTTCTGCAATCATTTCACACAACTGCAATCAGTGATTAAGAAACAAGTCTTGTGGAATTGCAGCAGTAACAGATTAGACTAGACAAGACTTCAGATAAAGCAAGGGACAAAATAGATGCTGTAGGAATGTGGGCTTCCCAGTAAAGAGTATTTTAAATGGGCACAGCCCATGTGAACTGACCTGCTTAAGGAAATGCAGATCATAGAATTGTTTGTATTGGAAGGGACCTTTAAAGGTCTTTAGCCCAAACCCACTGCAATGAGCAGGTACATCTTCAACTAGGTGAGGTTGCTCAGAGCCCAGTACAGCCTGACCTTGAGTGTGTGGGAACAAATAGCAAAGCAGGAAAAGCTTGAATACAGCCATTACAATTTTGGGAAAGCTTTCATAAATCACTAAGAACAAGAGACTACTTAAATCATTGCCAACCTCACCTGTCATCATGTTGGCAATCTTCCTCAAGCCCCACTAAAATAATTAATAACAGTGTCAGTCAAACTGCTGATTGTCTTAAAAAATGAATCAGCTTTACAGAGCAGATAGATGCCAATTGATTTCTGACAGAACCAGCTTAACTGGGACAGACCTAAAGCCATATGACATAGATCTGCTTTTAAGCAGCACAATTTCTTAAGCTCAGGTGTGTTTAGCTTTACTAGTGTGCTCAGCCGCCCCTTGTTCCTTGGAACAGCCTTCAGGGGGTGCGAGCCTCTTCTGGAGGAGCAGAATGAGTTACTTGCAGTGTGTTCCTGGGCTAGGTTCCAGAGCTGGGCAAGCCTTTTCTCTCTACTAAACTAAACATAACTGTAAATATAACTTAAGTCCCACAAAAACTAGTGCCATGGATTACAGACAAGGTGGTGAACAGCTCTGTTGAAGCAGATGGAGGGCAACACCACATGTCCTGCAGCCAGGCTGTGTTGGCACCACGTGGAAGAATAGGCCATGATGAATATGAGATGATCTTTGGTCTTGAAAACTTGTCCATGTAATAGTGATCTTCAGCATATTATGACATAGTCTTCTGCTCTGACTACTGTTTCCCAGTTTGTTGTTCCACAGTAGGATGGGCTGAACAAATTCCTCTAATTCTTACAAAGGTAAGGTAATGTGTAGTGTAACGTCACACCTAATGAATTCCTCCTATGCTCCTAAAATAGCCCAAGGCCCATGTTCTCTCATGACCCAGATATCATCTACCATAATAAGCAGCCAGTCCTGCCAGTTCCTCCCTGCCCCTCACGTCAGCATCCAGCCACAGGCACATGACTTGGTATGCAGTAATTCACCTGAACCCTCTGCCATCCAGTCTTTGTTTTGATAGCACCTGCCAGCCCTTAGTCTAAAGCTGGTTAAAGAAAAGTGATGAAAGCAACCATATAGCATATCAACAGTACACAATTTATAGTGATTAAAAAAAGAGAATAATTGTTTTGTTATAAATAGTAGCTTTCTTATCAGAACCCGAGTCAAAAAGACAAGGTGAGAGGTGAGGTAATTCAAGTGAGAGGTTGGTATTTAAACAAGTGTTCCTAGGTGACCTGTGAGCACCTTTTATCTGCAGGTGAGCTCAGCAATTCCCACCTATCTAATTGTCAGGTCAAGTAAAGTTCCAGATTCTTCCTGCACCTGGATGCTAGCAGGGAGTCTCCTGACAGTAGGTGATGCTCTCCCTGGGCTGGGAATCACCAGTCCAATGAGCTCATTTCCTGCACAGCTCACGTGAGCCTCTCCAGTGGTGAGCTGTAGGCCTGGTCTTTGCCCTGTGTGTCCAGGGAGGTGTGAGTTGGGAAGCTCCTCTTGCTTTTTCTCCTGGGAGAAGATGCAGTGTTCCATGAAACTGCTGACTCTTTGGGGAAACTTTGTCATTACTGAAGAAGAGACTGAAGTTTTGGCAGTTTAATACTGACATCTGTAAAGAGCGAATTACACGGCTGAACGAGAACGAATTATGGAGAAGGCTGACGAACCTACACAGAGAAGGTAAGCACGGCTCTGGGAAGGGTATCTCTAAAGGCCATGGACAAGGGGAAGTAAACCCCTGACAGGGGAGTAAATGCAGAGGAAAATAGGCTAGCTGCTTTCAGATGTGTATTTGGTTAATGAACAGCAACCAAGCATGAAGTACATACAATACACCTTTTCTAAGAACAGAAACAGTGCCTTGAAGCTGTCTTGTGCCTGTAGCACTCTTTGCTGCTTCAGTATGTCCTCTGGCAAAAGAGGTAGAAACAAACTAAACCAGAAGAGGGAGTGTGTTTTCCACCCCTGTGTAAGGAACTACAAAAGAAAGTCTAGAAAACTGAAATCTTGACTGATAAGCTACCGAGTACCTCCCTGATTAATTTTCTTCTCCATTTGAAATGAATGTTCTTGCTTTCTTTACCTCCTTTTTTGGAGCTGCTCTCTTCAGCGCTCTTTTGCTGGGGGTTTTTCACAACTTGTATCTGTAGGCTGTCAAACTGAGATGTGACCCATTGGTGACTTGCTGCTTCTAGGCCAGTTGTGATCTAGACAGGACAGTGTAATTAGACCTGCAGAGAGAACAGTGACTGCACACTGTGTTCCAGCATTTGAGCTCTGTGCAAGAGGGGTGAGAACAGCAGACCCTTCACATCTTTCTCCTGTATGCAGGGCTAGGAGCTCTCTGTGATGCCCTCCTGCGTTGCTGTGAAGAGGAGTTGCCCCTCTCTTACAGGGATAGTGAAGTCAACACGGGTTTCTAACACAGCATAAAATACAGAGGCATTGGGAAGAAGGTGGATAAATATGGGTGCTGAGTGCCACAAACTCCTCAGAAAGGTGAAGGAAGACTAATTTTGCCTGATGAATGCTGTAGAAATACTCTCTTGCTATTTAGGGTCTCTTTCCAATCATAGAACAGTACTTGGACTGATAAGGAATATGTAAGGCCTGAGGCTGGGGCACCTGTATTACTTTTTCTCTTTTCATTTACTTTATGCTGGTTAATGCCTTATAAACATTGAAACCCCTAGATTTTCACACCAAAATACTACACTAATCCCCACACACTGTAATAATTTGGATATAGTGGAACAGTAGTGCAAGAATGAGGTGATGCAAAGACAAATAATTCTTGGGGCGAGGGGTGGGGTGGGTGGTTTTGCATAATGTCATACACAGTGACACAAGAGCAGCTCAGGTGGGCAATTTACTTGGCCACAACACTTTTGGTTGGTTGGTTAACAGATATCCTGAGCCAGATAAAACAACAGGCTATGGGGGACAAAGGGTTTTTTTGCAAACCCCACTAAATTGAAGTGATTCACAGAAAAGATGAAACCTTTTTTAAAGGGTGATAAATGCCACTTCGTTGAAAAGGCCACGTATGCACATAACTGTTCACCAGAGGGTTATAGCTGGGATTGAAGGGGTTACTTTGTGCATATGCTGAATTTATATCTCGTTGCTTTCAATGAATTACTATGTTAATGCTAACCATTAGCATTAGTCTCACCAGTCTCACCTGAGATATATATATATAGTGAATGTATGTTAAGTTGTCATTTGGGCTTTCTGGGGCAGACACATTAAGATTTATAGGACTATCTTTTGGCTGAGTTCATGAAGTCTTTTTGCTACCTCTCTACAACACCATAGATTTTGCCCCAAAACACTTCCATGGGTATCTCACCACCTTTTTATACTGGAATTCCAGTAACATTTTAACAGATCAGTCTCTCCAGGAAAATGGTCAAGAAAACTCACTTGTTCATAACTGCTCTTCTGATATTCTTTTATTGCCTCCATTTTCCTCAGTTCGGATTTTGTCTCCTGGAAATTTTTGAGAGAAACAAAACTGGAATTTTTCAGGCTCCCTGGCTGTTACGTGGGAATTATTTCTACAGATGACTGCACATGGAGTGTAGTATAATGGGAGGGAGGGACAGCAGGGGAAGCCACACAATTACTGTCCATCTATTCATCTTCTGTTGAGAACTTGAGCAAGGAGTTCTTAAGTAGGATTTATTGAAAAATGTGAGTACCTTTACCCTTACTGCATTAGCTTTACGGGCCAGGCATTGTCTGACTTGAGCTCTTTGGCTTTCCAGCTTTTCTTTGTAACTGATCAAAGACTTCTGCAGCTCTTCTACTTTCTGCTGCAGCACCCTGTTAGCAAAAGAAACTTCAGCCAGTTTGCAGGAGGATCCTTCAAGGTAGTTCTTTACCCAGGGGAAAAACTGAGTTCACATTAACTGTAAGAATTAGTTCATCCTATACAGCAAGAAAAGAGCAGCACTCCCAGCTGATCTGCTGTATCTGGAGTAGGCTACAGCACCTGGTGTTTAGACTTTTCTTTAATCCCCTTCTAACAAAGGGGAAAAAGTGAATGCTGAGATCTGAGTAATCCTAAGATTATACTGAGCTTTATGATCCAGTCCCCAAGAAACAAAACAGACTTCCAAACTAGGATTTTATCCCTGGAGACTGCTGTACAACCTAATTATCCTTTTGAAGTCACTGGAAGGACAGATACCAATGTCTTAGCTACAAGGAGGTCTGTAGTGTTGGGGAATACAGGGTGGTACTTGGAAAAATGTGTCTACCACATGACAGAGCTCTATTTGTTGTATATAAGTGAGGGACAACTCCATGGTGAATGGAAAAGAAGACAAATACTGGTTGTGAGCTGCTCTTGTTAT